CGACATATTGGCTCCCGACAAATGGGCTCACGACATATTGGCTACCGACAAATGGGCTCCCGACATATTGGCTCCAGACAAATGAATGGCATGACCACTATTGGCATAAAAGTAACCGATTTGTCCTACCTCCACTACCACTATAACCTCTTTTAAATGCCTGAATGAAATTGTTTTTCATGAACCAACATCAATTCACAAACAAATCGAGCCCTTAATAGCTAAATTCCACCAATTCTAAAGTTTTGATAATGTTAAATTTACAACAGAAAACATCAGTTGCTTAAAAACGAGCATACGAGTGTAAATGTATGATGAACATGATGTTTACAGGATAACGACATTTTGTTTTGATAACCTACAAGCATACTGCAGGTAGGAATGTACAGCATGGACCCCTCTCCCCACACACTGAGTTGAAACAGCCTATAACCGACTCATTTATGGAAGTCATAGATACTATTTCTTTTTTAATAGATAAAAACTATTATAAAATTAAGGCTTGACGAACAAGAGATGCATACGTCGTATTACTTAAAAGTGTTGAATAAGCTAATTCTAAAGAATATTCTTGAAGGGGCCCCACTGGCAGGTGCAGAGGCGTAGCGACGTGGGGGGGGGGGTACATATGTCTCCGGGCGCCAACCTTAGGGGGTGCCAAAATGGGTTGTAAAAACATATTAAAATGCCATTTTAGCTGTATTTTTGCATTTTAAATAGTTTGAGGGGGAGGGGCTGCAAATCAAAGGTTTGAAACATTTGCTCCCGAGGGGAGCGCCAAATTGAAAGTTTGTCCCCAGGCGCCGGGAAGGGTCGCTACGCCTCTGGGCAGGTAGTGTCATATTTAATCAGACCGTTTTGCCGGGAGACTTAGTCTCTACAGAAACCGTATTGTCAGTGGTCCTTTAGTCGGGAGCCAAATTGACAGGAGCCTATTTGTCGTGAGCCAAAATGACGGGAGCCTATTTGTCATGAGTCATAATGACGGGGCCACTTTGTGGCGAAACTAAATGGCGGGAGCCTATTTGCTGGGAGTTGTAATGACGGGGGCCGTTTTGTCGAGAAACTAAATGTCGGGAGCCTAAATGACGGGAGCCTATTTGTCGGTAGCCTTATTGACTGGAGCCCTTTTGTCGGGAGCCTATATGACCTGGTCCATATGTCGCTGGCCCTTTTGACGGGGTCGCTTTGACGCCGCACAATATTTTAAATACATATATTAGAGGTCTTAGGTTTCCTCTGCTATCTTTCTATCTACCATCACAAAGGAACCTCTTCACAACAACAAAAACACCCCAACACCCCCAAACTGCAACCCACCCTTCTCATTAACCTCTGCAATAAGATGCCACATGTGAGTTCTGTCAAAATAATTTGTATAAATATATTTACTAACTCATTCTCCCAGTTCCTTCTATGTGATAAAAGTCAAGTGGGACGGAGTGGCATAGGGTTAATAATGCAAAAGTGTTACGTGACGTCATCTGAACAACACCCTCATCACACACCGTCACGAGTAGGACGTCATTTTTGGACGACCTCATACACACACTCACAAACATACTGAGCAAGCTAAATATAGTCCTTTAATATTAATTCATCTTTAATTCTTTATGTATTCATTGCTAAAACGTTGAGTTTAACTTAAATATCAATATCATTGTAATTGTAATCCTTCCAAAAAAAAAAAGAAGTTCAATATTATTAATTCATCTTTGATTCTTGATGCATTAAATTTAGACTAAAATACTAACTTATTTTTAACTTAACTAACTTAATACATCACTTATACTATGAAATAATAATGTGAATTTTTATTAGCACATAAGATGGATATAATTTAACTTCTTGTTTTAACTATTTAAAGCTTCGATTAGCTGCTATTCCAGTCCACTAGCTGGCCTACTGTACTGTGGATTTAGTTTTTGAAACTTAACCCTAGCCAGATATATTGTTGCTGTTTTTTCTTGGCCTTGTCTTCTACACATCTTACTTGTATCTACCTGGACACTCACTTATGATGCTGCACTTCTTCAAATACCTTCTGGGCATGGAGACTGAGATTACAGTTGTCACATAAAAACATCAACTCATGAAAAGAAAGAAACGATGTTTTTTTCCTACTGGTGTCCAGCTTGTGGGTGAAAGTGTGTGTGTTTGACCACTGGATAGCTTACACGAATGAAAGCTAATGTTCAAGATGTATGTAATGAAATTTGAGTAAACAATGAGATAAATGATTTGTGTTTCTTGTTTTATCCCAGCTGCAATGTTTGTTCCAGACTTTTTTCTCCGAAGAGATGCATGGAAGAAACTCTGCCTAGCTGCTAGCTGTTAGTACAATTAAGCATTCTAGAATTAATTAACTTCGTAGATCTCAGATCAACTAGAACAATTAAAAACTTAACCACGAAGGTTTATTGAATAGTATGCAATTTTACGCATGCTATTAAAACAGTCATCAAGAGTAGTTCAAATTGAAAGTCTACTAGATAATCTTATTTTAGTGCTTATTAATTTCCATACTAATTTCGGCTTTTTAATTCTATGGGGGTCGCGGGTCACTTACTTTTTTATAAAAGGGGGGTCGCCGAATTTTTTTTACCGCCCCCCCCCCCCCCCCCCGAACGAAATGAAATTTATATAATTTATATAGAAAATATATACTTTTAATAGTGTCCGCCCCCCGAAGAAAGTTTACCGCCCCCCCCCCGAAGATTTCAAGTGCCCCCCCCCCCCCCCCCCGGAGAAAAAAGTCTGGAAGAAACACTGCACGGGGGGGGGGGGGGGGTTAGTGTTTTAAAGCAAATATTTTCAGTGACAGCATTGGTACTGTCAAATTCACAAATTATGAATTACTGAAAAGTAGAAAATAAAACTAAATCGCGGCGTGTAATACGCCGCGGGTCGGCTCGTAAAATATATTTAAGTCGTTATATAAACAAACCCTACTCCATTATTCATAACAAGACACCGCGATGCAAGTACAAAGCACGACATGTGGTGTGTTTACTTTTATGTTTCCAAAATGTAAAGCGATGACGGACCGATACACTACCTAGCCGCTTACAAGCTGTATGTCATTTCTTCGCTACAGTGTAAATTGTGTAAACACTCAACGAATACTCTGTAGAAAACAAAAGAACAAAACACAATGTAGGCCGACAATACAAAACAATTTATCACACGAAACAAACAAAAACACTATATGTACAGATGTACATGCGCTTAAGAAGTGGACAGACAATGTGGCAAATAAACCGGGAGTGATCTCCCCTAAACTCTATCGAATATTCTAATATAAAATTACGAGGGATGGCAACTCAGACATAGACAATATTTGTTATCCATTTTTAATTACTTCAAACTTTTTATAATAGAATAGAATCTCGTAAAAAAAAGAATTGCACACCAAGTGAAAAGTTCCCCTTTCAAACCTGACGGTCTATGGGGCAAGTGAAGTTGAGTTCACTTGTTTCTGTGACCTCGGCATATGAAGAGATAGTGTGGTCAGCACTATGCCCAGCCGCCTTTACTTTCCCTAACAGTAACAGGCGTTAGGTACCCAGAGAGTTGGGTGGACTCAGGGACGGTCTACTGACTTGAACCAGGATTCGAACTCGAGTCGACTAACGGGTTAGCAGTCCAGCTGTCTACCGCTAGACCACTCCGTCCCACAACAAGTGAACGCCTAATAAGATGTGCATAAAAGTGCGGGATATTATTAGTACTTTATAAATTTACATGCGTTTTTTGAGATATCGGAAATAGCGTAAATTAGTACTTCCGGCCAACGGAAATTACTCAAAATTTGAAAGAAGGTAGAGAATTAGATCTTTTACTTACGTGTTAAATTTCATTTATCTATCTAAAATAGTACGCAAGTTAAAGGCTTTTGAAAAGTTTAAAGTAGAAAAAGTACCACTTCTGGTTATCAGAAATCGCTCAAAAGTTGATAAGGATCTACGATTTTGATATAATACTGATATATGAAATTTCATCAACCTAGCTGTAACGGTACTCAAGTTATCGTGTTTACACACAGACAGACACACAGACATACGGACAGAATTGCAAAGTCCAGTTTTTCCGACTCGATAACGCACACAACGTCAAAATGTTTATATATTTGTATTTATAATTTTTGCCTGATTAAAATAAGTCCTCTATACTCCGGATGTGATGAAGGACTGAGGTGTTTTAAACGGTGAAAACTGTCAAAATTTCATGTTATTTTTGTGCACGATTACAAGACTTTCTCTATACTTCGTATATACGAGAAAGTAAAAAGCGCCTTGCACATGCCTGGCGCTGAGCTAGGCGCCGATAAGTAAGCCAAGAAGTAGGCTGTACATATACTTGCGATGAGTATGTGATATGTAGTAGTGGTAGAGTACATAACATGACAGTTTTTAAATTCTTTGATTCATAGTTTCAGTTTGTGTTTGATGTTGTTGATGATTTTTGTTTTGAGGAACTTGTTTAAAATGTTATTTAATTATTCTCCGAAAAAGGCACCATTATCCTTAAAATGGTCGTAGGGAGGGAGAGCGGCCGCTACCCCCTGCGTACGCTACTGTATATAATATTGCCCCCTTACGAGACAATACTGGCTACGCCACTGGTAACCACACATTATACTTTATACATTTTGTACAGTGGCCTAGCCTAAAAGTAAAAGTTGTCAAAAAGGTGTGTCCTCCCCGGCTGCTCTGTAATTATTAAAAGTAATTAAGTGGCGTCATCTGCAGGCGGTCCTTACGAAAAGACCATAAGAGTTGTGGATGGGGAATTATTTAAATTAATTTATATCGCTCACACTACACTTTCTGTTTTACATCCTCACTCCGCCACTAAACTAATTCAATTAAGAAGGCCTACATCTAGGATTGTTGGACTTCAAATGATAGACCTGACTCGAGGACGACAGGTTAATAAAATAATATGGCATATGGGCCTAATAAATAATAAATACTACGTCTGCTGTGTAATGTTTCAGTCATAAAAGAATTCCACGACTCCACTTCCGGCTTATAGGGGCGAACGTAAAGTTGACTGTATGCCTAGTGTTGGAACCAAAAAAGAATTATCATAGGCTACGTTTTACTTTTTTTTTTCTCGAATTTAGCTGAGTTACATCACAGCTCGTTAAAATGTTGAGTACAAGCATGTGGAAATTGCGGGAACTTACGGACAAAGTGTAAGAATAAAAGTTTATTGGCATCCTACTACTAACTAGTAACTAACTACTTACTACTAGAATCTAGATCTAGATTTTCTAGATCTAGAAGCTAGATCTAGAATCTACTTCAAGTTAATACAATTTTATAGAATTTTTTGGTAAAACTCCACTTTAGCGTATTTTATTCCCCGCTTCACGTTCTCCTCCTGTTGAGCGTATTTTATTATAAACACAACCAAAACACACAAAAACGTTAGGAAAATCACTGGGCCTATTTCTTTATGAATTTTTTGTAGTTTTTTTTAAAGGCCAAGAGGCTATTATAATATTATTTCCAGCTGGTTAGGAATAGCCGTATTGGGACTATTCCCAGCCGACTGTGAATAGCCCCAATACGGCTATTCTCAGTCGGCTGTCATTTCATGTTAAATACGACTGTGAATAATATCTTAAAATAATAAAAGCATTTATTGTGACTGGGGAGTGAGGTATAGATTAAGAGAGCAGTGCTATTTTTATTGGCCGATGCTAGCCAGAATAAGATACACATGCGCAATGGAGAGAAACTACAATTTGCCATCGCAGCGATGTTTTTGATGGTACTGCGCACGTGTGTGTTTACAACTGCCGAACCCTAACACCAACCCTAATCCTATCCCTAGCCCTAACCCTATCCCTAATCCTAGCCATAGGTCACTGCGCATGCGCAGAGCTATCTTTTGCTGACTAAGTGGAGACGTTGGGGAGAAAAATCTTCTTCCGAGTAGTCACTTCGATTTTTATTTTGTTATATTTTTATAAAAAAGTTATTAGGGGTACAGTTAAAGTTTATTTTAGCTTGCAGGCTCATATCAGACATATCTGCAGCTACAGGCTACATCTACGTAGGTCATAAATTTGGTAATAAGATTAAAAGGCATACATTAAGAGTCATAGCAATATGACATCTGATGGATTTGAACCCCCACCTTCTGGCACGACAGTCACTGCCCATGACCACTCAACTACACTTCTTCATGCCCAGTTATTTATTTTTAACATTAAATCTATCAAAAACGGTCACAACTGTGAATAGCCCCAATACTGCTATTCACAGTCGGCTGAATAGACACTTCCTTTTTTAAATTTTGTCAAAACTTGAGATAAATTCAAAATTTGGAATATTTAGTAGTTAATAGTAGATCAATAATCTATATTATTTAGGCCCTACTAGTTAACTAGATCTAGTAGGTTACTAGACACTAGAGATAGATCTATTTAGATCTAGATTTAACTTTTTTTTCTTCTTGAAAATGTGTTTGTGTCAGTTAAGATTTTCATGGCAATGGGTAAAGTGTAGAAACGCATAATTGCAAGGCATGTAAATTAACTTACATGAACTCACAATGACCCTAAGCTATGACATATGCACTATGCTCAGATGCTGATAATTAAAGTCAATGTGAACTCACGGTGAACCCTTGACCATGTAGGGATTTTTCTCACGCCCACACATGCTATTTAATTGGAACTGTAGGCCTAATGCTTATTTATAATATTTAGGTGCATACCTTTTCTAAATTTAAGTGGGCTAGCTCTAGACTATATAGGCCTATATCATCTAATGATTCTAATCTTAGTGTTTTCCTAACATTTTTGTGTTTATAATAAAATACGCTCAACCGGAGGTGAACGTAAAGCAGCTAATAAAATACGCTAAAATGGAGTTTTACACAATTTTTTACTAGATCTACAAGTACAAGTAACATCATTTGTAATAATACTATTTACGGCAATCTATCGTTCGTTTGAGCTGCGTAAAATCGGCAGAGGCTAGTAATGTGCGAAAAAGTTGCCGCATTGTTAAGGCTTTAGGCTTTAACAGATGCTTCATATTGTGATAGGCCTATATTTAATTATTATTATATTTGTGTCAAATTAAATTAGAGATAACTGAATAGTTGAATAATAAACCAAAATCAATCAATCAATGACTAAATATTAAATATATCAATATAGGTTATAGATCTAGGCCAGAAAATTAACTTTAAACACCAGTGTTTGCAAGCAAAATTTGCTTTATAAACAGCGGCCATCTAGTTAAAGTGGTTTCCCCTGAATCTCTAGCTAAAATGTTACCAAAAAAACAAACAAGATGGCTGCTTAAGTAAATGAGCATGGCTGCATCTGATGAAAACATCGCTAGACTTTATTTTTCACTGAAAAGTTTTAATACAATTGTTTATAAACAGGTATTAATGAAGCTTTAAAACATTTTTGTAACTTTAAAAAAAAAAATATAACTAAAAATGTGAAATAATTACTAAAATTTAATGAGTCAACTTTTTTTACATTACTAGTCTCGGCCGATTTTACGTACCTAAAACAATACATTACCCTATTTACTAGTATTTAGGCCTACACAAGATTGTAAAGTTAATAATAATAATAAGAAAAGGGAATCTATAGTTTTACGTCCGGTATTTTTTAACTCTGCAGAATGGAAGGCCACTCAGTGGCCTAATCTCACGATATAGCGCCGGAAATTATCCTGTAATATTTGTTGGGTTTCATTAACATTCGTTACTGTAAATCACAGTTTAATTGAAGTTGAAATGAAAATTAAGTCAAGTGCATTAAATAAAATAATTAATGTTTTAACTTAATTTAAAGTTTAATTGACAGAAAATTAGTAACAATTTACTAAAGTTAAAAGTAGTAAGAAGGACTAGAATAATGTTTAGTTGGAGCAATAATTAGCATATACACTTAAAATAATTAGAAATACAAAATAATTAGCCAAACAGTATTTAAAATGCAACTAAAATCAATCTATGCACATTTTTAAACATTGTTTTTAAAAAATAATATGGCGCCAAATAAATGGTGGTTTCTGGAACGGTGTGACAGACTACATCATGGTTTTACTGTTTTTCACTGTTGTACCATTCCAGAATAATAACTGACGCTATATCATCATTTTACCTAAACGGTTACGTTTCCGCACTATAATTATAAAATTAACCAAAATTAAAGTATTTATGCTAAGACTAATCCAATCCATGATTTTTGTAGAAAAACGGAAATACTTTCGTTTTTATGAAAAAGAACTCATGAAAAATAATTCTTATCATTATTTTTCCCTACTGAAGCATATTATTTTTTGCCTAAAAAAAAAAATGTAGCTGTTTATTTTTTTAATTTGTATTTGTGTTTTGCGTTTGTGTTTTCGTTTGTGTTTGCATTGTGTTTGTGTTTTCTTTTGTGTTTGTATTTTTATTTGTGTTTGTGATGTGTTTGTGTTGTTTAGTTTTGTTCTGTTCCCAAGTTGGTACATTTAATAAAGATTTACCGTAGTGGAGCACGGGTCTGCACGGGTATGCAGCTTGTATATATATATATATATACACACATATATATATATATATATATACACACACATATATATATATATATATATATATATATATATATATATATATATATATATATATATATATATATATATATATATATATATATATATATATATATATATATTTATATATATATATATGTATATACATGTATATATGTATATATATATATATATATGTATATATATGTATATATATATATATATATATATATATATATATATATATATATATATATATATATATATATGTATATGTATATATATATATATATATATATATATATATATATATATATATATATATATATATATATATATATATATATATATATATATATATATATATATATATATATATATATACTAGGCATGCTGCCCAGCTTCGCTTAGGCTTTCGAAAACATTGAGAATTTGAATGCTTAATTAATTCGCCCATATAAGGCGCCGGTCAGTCGAGGTCAGTTTTGACCCCCTCATCGTAGACTTTTCGGCCAACCGGCCCCCGTGTTCTGTCGCCCCAAGGCAAGATCCTGCCAAATTTGAAGCGCCTGCGGCGCCTGGAAGTGCCCTATCGGGCACCCGACAACTTAGCTTTATAGATCATCTAGATCTAGAATATCTAGATCTAGAATCTCTAGATCTAGATCTAGAATCCAAATAGATAAAATAACTTTTTTTAAGTTTAGGCCGAGAAAATCGTATTGTATACATTTCATAGCGTACATAGCTCTAAATCATATTTGAATGAAATAGTTCATTTCTTTATATTCTAAACTCGGAAGATGACGTCATCAGTTTCGTGCTCTTTTTTTTAGTGAAAACAATAAGCGACGTCATTGTTAATTGCGTTCTTGTCTCAAGTTTATACAATTTTCCGGTTGCATAAATAATACTGTTTCTCTACATTCGAATACGCCTTTATTTTTTATTTTTCTTCTTTAAATAATTTTGTGGTTATACATTTAAAACATCTAACATATTATTTTCAACAAAAGTCCGTATAAAGGTATCCATATATCGCTGCCGATTCTGACGTGATGTCCGGCGAAAATATTTTGCGGACAGACAGAGAGAGAGAGAGAGAGAAGAGCGCACACAGCCTTTTATATATTAGGATATATATGACTAGTTTTTTTAAACGACAGCAACGTGCCCCATATTAAAGCCAGTGTAGGGCTGTCACTGTGCATCAGCTGACAAATCCAATGGACCCTAAGATTATCTTATCTCCCCTTTGCTTCTTTTGAATTGAATGTGGTCATTTACTTGAGACCAGCTGACCTTGTGAGCCAACTTGGATGTAAAAGAAGTTTCTCTGTGTGATTTATTGCTAGCTTTGTCTGGCATCAATCTTGTTCCCATTTGATCATTTCTACTATGTTATTTAGATGTCAGCTGTTTATTTCAGTACCAATGTTGTCATGAACTACTCTGATGTTGAAACTAAAGTGAGGGAGGCAACCAATGATGATGCCTGGGGACCCCATGGATCACTAATGAAGGAGGTTGCTCAGTACACATTCACGTATGAACATTTCCCAGAAGTGATGGGCATGCTATGGAAACGTATGTTACATGACAACAAAAAAAATTGGCGGCGAGTTTATAAGGTAAGACCAGTGAAGGCCATCATATTAGGTATATAGGTATACTTTATCATAACCACTGCCCTTTACATGTACTTTTTCCTTGACAACATCTCATTTTATGGACGGTGTGGTTCAATGGTAGAGTGTTTGTCTGCTGACCCAGTCTCAGGTTTGGCTGTCTGGCTAGTGTCAGAGCACCACCCAACTCTGATAGTTACCTCAATTAAGTAAAGACTGCTGGGCATAGTGCTGACTACACTATCCCTTCATATGCAGAGGTCATAGAAACAGGTGAACTCTACTTCACCTACCGTGTGGGCTGTCAGAGCCATAACGAAGCTTTACTTTTACATCTCTTTATGTGTACTTTTTCATTGACCTCCCCTTTTGTCTATTTTTTATTGATGACATCCCTTTATATATACTATTGCCTTGATAGCTTATGAATATTATCTCATTTATAATAATTTGTCTTCTTTTCTTAGTCTTTAATTTTGCTAAACTACCTGATCAAGAATGGTTCAGAAAGAGTGGTGACCAGCTCAAGAGAACACATCTATGACCTGAGAGGTCTAGAGAACTATTCTTTTACTGATGAACAAGGCAAAGATCAAGGACTAAATGGTGGGTTTCTGCAGCCGCTGTGTTAGTCACATATTATTCCTCACTTTCTTCTCCCCATTCCAAAACATAGTTTTGCAATAGTTCTCACTTTCTTTTCTTAGTCCGACACAAAGTGAAAGAAATTCTGGACTTCATTCAAGATGATGACAGGCTCAGAGAAGAAAGAAAAAAAGCTAAAAAAACAAAGGACAAATACGTGGGTGTTTCTAGTGAGGCAATGGGAGTCAGTGGTGGAGCTTATAGTGGGTACACCTGTCTGTAACCTGTTTGTGTTGTTGTCTGTACACCTGGTGTTGTTGTCTCTATACCTGTGTGTTGTTGTCTGTACAACTGGTGTTGTTGTCTGTACACCTGGTGTTGTTGTCTATACACCTGGTGTTGTTGTCTGTACACCTGTGTGTTGTTGTCTATACACCTGGTGTTGTCTGTACACCTGGTGTTGTTGTTTGTACACCTGGTGGTGTCTGTGTACACCTGGTGGTGTCATGTACACCTGGTGTTGTCTGTACACCTGGTGGTATCTGTGTGCACCTGGTGGTGTCTGTACACCTGTTGTTGTTGGTGTCTGTACACCTGGTGGTGTCTGTGCACACCCAATGTTAGCAGTGAATTGTTTGTATACATTGTGGGGTGATGTATCTGTGGATTGGTATATTTGCAGGTGACCGCTATGAAGAAGAACCACGGAGTTACAGAGAGAGGGGACAAATGGAAGAAATTGAGGACTGGGAAAGTGGCAAAAAGTCTGTTGTTAGTGGGGCTATAGATAAAGCCAAAGATTTGTGGAACCGTGCCCAAGGAAGGCAAGCTCCTGATGAAATGTAGGTTATTTGACATTTTTTTTATTGCTGTTGCATAGCCCACCTTTGGTATGAGGATTGTTCCAGCTAAATGGCCTGCACTCTTCCAGACTGGCTTGACACAGAGTTGAGCTTTAACCCTTTAAACTCTGTCTTTTCAACTACAGTACTAAAAAATAAATCATTTTAAAATATAGAGTTTGTAAACAGGCTGGAAAATTTTTTAGTTTTTGGGCTGGTTAAAATAAGACTTGAATTTCATTTTGGGAGTAAAACTGTGGCAGCTCTGACAGACAGGGGGTATCCAACTTGGGGGGGGGGGGGAGTAAAACTGTGGCAGCTCTGACAGACAGGGGGTATCCAACTTGGGGGGAGAGTTCTGTTGTTTGACCACTCCCTCCCATTTCATTTATTATGCTTAACTCAAATAGTAAACTTAAGTCAAATAACAAACCTACAAAAATAAAAATCAGACACACATTCTTATTATAGGTAATATAAGTTTGATACTTATCATCTACTATATTTAGATAATTGTTTTTTATTTAACTAATTTTTATCAGTTCTTTTTCTCTAATTATAGTGCAGCTAATTTAAAAAAAAAAAATTCTTTTATAAATTCAATGAAAAAAAAACTTGTAAATAAAATTCATTTTTTGTGCTCATTTAATACCAGGGGTCAACACAAGTTCTTAACATAGTACAGCCATAATCTGGCACATCAGATCAATAATTAATGAAAATGACTGTATTCTTTCAACAGTGAGACTGAGCGCTATGATGAAGATAATTGGGAAAAAAGCCGTGAACCGAGAGATCGTAAAACTGATCGTTATGATTTTAAAGATGATGATGAAGAGTACACATCTGTAGAGAGGACCCAGACAACAAAAACAGAGAAAATCACTACCAACAGAAGGAGTCGCTCCATAGGGAAGAAGTTGGAGCTAGGAGCTGCCTCGTCCTTTGGCAAGGAATCTGATAGTCAGGTACATCATCTTAAGGCATAATCTGATAGTCAAGTACAACATATCATCTTAAGGCTTAGAGGAATATTCACAGTGGTGCCATTTTTAATACTAGAATCGCACATAAAGCAGTTTTTTTCTTTATTTAGATCTTGCTCATATTGTAAGCAAGGATAACAATTAGCCTCTACCTATTAACTTTGCAATAAACCAGAATTAAAAACCCAACAAAATTAGCTAATGCCAGCAATTTTTACTTTCTCGTATATACAAAGTATGGAGAAAGTATTGTAATCTGGCAAAAAAAAAAATATTGAGATTTTTTGCAAATCTCGACGTTTTACACCTCCCTGAGTCGGAGGGGGGGGGGGGGGGATACCTAATATCTACCCTTCTAGGCTTATCTAACTTTCTACTGTCGGGTCAGTGCAAGTCCGGTAACCCAGACTGGTTAATAACCTAACCTTAGTCGAAATTAAAAACAAAAAAAGTTTGCAATCTTGTCCATATGTCTGTGTGTCTGTCTGTCTGTGTGTCTGTCCGTGTGTAAACACGATAACTTGAGTACCGTTACAGCTAGGTTGATGAAATTTCATATATAAGTATTATATCAAAATCGTAGATCCGTATCAACTTTTGAGCGATTTCCGATAACCGGAAGTGGAACTTTTTCTAATTTGAATTTTTCAAAAGCCTATAACTTGAGTACTATTTCAGATAGATAAATGAAATGTAACATGTAAGTATAAGATCTAATTTTCTGCCTTCTGTCAAATTTTGAGTAATTTCCGTTGACCGGAAGTAGTAATTTTCACTATTTCGGATTTCTCAAAAAACGCATGTGAATTTATAAATTACTAATAATATTCTGCACAATTATACACATCTTTAATCGGCGTTTGCTTGGTGCGCAATTCTTTTTTGTATGAGATTCTATTCTATTTCAAAAAGTTTAAGTATTTAAAATTGATTAAAAATCATAACTATATCCCGAGTTCCCATCCCCTGTTGTTTTGTATAAGAATATTTGAGAAAGTTTAGGGGAGATCACTCCCGGTTTATTTGTGTTAGTGAAGAAAACTTTTAAGTAATGACGTCACCGGCAATCTTGAAATTTTTATTTACTTTCCATAAAACTTAAAAAAAAATAAAAAAATACTGATGATTAGGGCGCGACTAACCTGCCTCTCCATGTAACTACGGTCACTGATATCTAAACTTGTGTGACCTCACCTTGACCACAAGTACATTGTTGGTACTTTTAGCTGGGGGGGGGATGGATAGGTTCAGTTTATGCTTATGTCATATTCCACAGGCCTGGTGATGGCTGGACTACTGTGACCTCACAGTGACCCCACCACCGTTTCTTGTGTGTGTGAGGGGGAGGGGGATTATACCGGTAATTTTTAATAGCATAAGTAATGGTGTTGTTACAACATGCAGATTTTTTTTTTGGCTCCGAATTTTTCTTTTCAAGCAGCTTATTATTTTAAACACACTATTTACTAAATCTAGGATCTAGGCTTAATAAATCTAAGCTACTCAACAACAAACCTAAATTAGTAAATTACTTTATTATTATTCTTTTTAAGTAATTAACTTTCACTATTTGACTCTATGCCTAATTGATATGACTAATAGTAATACAATTGAAATAATGCAATTATATCATGAACAAATAAGTATTAGAAACAATGGGATTCCTCATGTTAATCAATTATTTTATAATATAAAGTTTAGGGGAATGGCATGTAGCGTGTGTCCCAAGTTGAATAATGAAATGTAGCGTGTGTCCCAAGTTGAATAATGAAATGTAGCATGTGTCCCAAGTTGAATGATTAAATGTAGCGTGTCCCCCAAGTTGAATAATGAAATGTAGCGTGTGTCCCAAGTTGAATGATGAAATGTAGCGTGTGTCCCAAGTTGAATGATGAAACTTGGTGAAACTTGGTATGATTGCATTGAATCTAACAAAGACATGGACAATGTTGTTGTGTGAGCCCCTCAAGAGAGTCTGTTTATTTGTTGTAGAGTCAAGCATCATCTACTGTAGGGGACCCAAACCTATTTGACCTACCAGACACACAGGAAAGTTTTGCTGATTTCTCAAACTTTTCTACTGCCACCACAGCTGAGGATTTCAACCCAAGAGGTATTGGCACTTACCTTTTTCATCTCACTCTAATGTAGTTTATCTCACCCAAACAATTTATTTCACTCAAATAGTTTATCTCACCCAAACTTAAGAGTTTATCTCACTCAAACAGTTTATCTCACCCAAACTTAAGAGTTTATCTCACTCAAATAGTTTATCTCACCCAAACTTAAGAGTTTATCTCACTCAAACAGTTTATCTCACCCAAACTTAAGAGTTTATCTCACTCAGTTTATCTCACCCAAACTTAAGAGTTTATCTCACTCTAATGTAGTTTATCTCACCCAAACTTAAGAGTTTATCTCACTCAAACAGTTTATCTCACCCAAACTTAAGAGTTTATCTCACTCAAACAGTTTATCTCACCCAAACTTAAGAGTTTATCTCACTCAAACAGTTTATCTCACCCAAACTTAAGAGTTTATCTCACTCAAACAGTTTATCTCACCCAAACTTAAGAGTTTATCTCACTCAAACAGTTTATCTCACCCAAACTTAAGAGTTTATCTCACTCAAACAGTTTATCTCACCCAAACTTAAGAGTTTATCTCACTCAATCAAATGTATTGCAAGCTGGACACATTTTGTTGGCAATTATAAACACTTTCACACCTTTAGCACAAGTTGGCCACATGAAGTAAACTAATGAGCAAGTAGCACAATTTAAGCATGCACACATCTGACCATTGGTTTGTTGCAGGTGGAAATGATTTTGGTGACTTTATAAAGGTCGGAACCAGTGGGACCAGCGCAGTCAGGTAGGGCCGTTAGACCCTTCTTTGGGAGTCATCCATTTATGACGTCCACATGGTGGGGGGGGGGGGGGGTAAAAAATTGACTTTTGCGGACGCGTGTGGACAGGGGGAGGGGGGGGGTTTGCCGAATGTGGACGTCCACATTACATTATTTTTGGTAGTGTGAAAGAAAAATATTTCCTAGCAAAGCTAAAGTTCAACTGTCCTATCTCTCTGGCCCTTTAACCACCCAGCTTGGGGTCTATGCCACGGCTTAACCTCAAATAAATAGGGTATCCCATTACGTGTTTCCCCACATTTGCATCCCAGGTAAAAGACCAGGCGACTGGCATCCTGGCCTGCACTTCTCTAGGTAGGCGGGAGGGACGTCCCAGTTCAGGTGTGGGACGGGAGGGGGGGCGTAAACCAACTAGCATCAACGTTGGACTCAGTAATATAACAGTGTCAATGCCACTACAAGTGTGCGAAATAATGGCTCGTCAAAACGTGGCAAATTTGCTAAATTAAATGATTTGTATCAAAAGACTTATCCTTCAAAATCAAACATTCAAAAAGAGGTTAATAGCCTATGGCTTAATTTAAAGAGGCAGCCAGAGGAACAATTCCAAGCTAAATTAGTTGAACTGCAGGACGTCATCAGGATAAATCAGTCCCAATCTTTATCGTTTTGGGACAATTTAAAACCTAGCAATGAATCTGTATTGGTTTGATTCAAAATAAAAGATAAAAAAATCCCAAAAATTTGTGGACGTCATAAATAGATGGCCCCTTACCTGCAGTAGTCATGTAGGGCCATTAGACCCATCTTCACCTGCAGTCATGTAGGACCATTAGACCCATCTTTACCTGCAGTCAGGTAGGGCCATTACACCCATCTTTACCTGCAGTCAGGTAGGGCCATCAGACCCATCTTTACCTGCAGTCAGGTAGGGCTGTTAGACCCATCCTTACCTGCAGTCATGTAGGGCCATTAGACCCATCTTTACCTGCAGTCATGTAGGGCCATTAGACCCATCTTTACCTGCAGTCAGGTAGGGCCATTATACCCATCTTTACCTGCAGTCAGGTAGGGCCATTAGACCCATCTTTACCTGCAGTCATGTAGGGCTGTTAGACCCATCTTTACCTGCAGTCAGGTAGGGCCATTATACCCATCTTTACCTGCAGTCAGGTAGGGCCATTAGACCCATCTTTACCTGCAGTCATGTAGGGCCATTAGACCCATCTTTACCTGCAGTCATGTAGGGCCATTAGACCCATCTTTACCTGCAGTCATGTAGGGCCATTAGACCCATCTTTACCTGCAGTCATGTAGGGCTGTTAGACCCATCTTTACCTGCAGTCAGGTAGGGCTGTTAGACCCATCTTTACCTGCAGTCAGGTAGGGCTGTTATACCCATCCTTACCTGCAGTCATGTAGGGCCATTAGACCCATCTTTACCTGCAGTCATGTAGGGCCATTAGACCCATCTTTACCTGCAGTCATGTAGGGCCATTAGACCCATCTTTACCTGCAGTCATGTAGGGCTGTTAGACCCATCTTTACCTGCAGTCAGGTAGGGCTGTTAGACCCATCTTTACCTGCAGTCAGGTAGGGCTGTTAGACCCATCTTTACCTGCAGTCATGTAGGGCTGTTAGACCCATCTTTACCTGCATTCATGTAGGGCCATTAGACCCATCTTTACCTGCAGTCAGGTAGGGCTGTTAGACCCATCTTTACCTGCAGTCAGGTAGGGCTGTTAGACCCATCTTTACCTGCAGTCAGGTAGGGCCATTACACCCATCTTTACCTGCAGTCATGTAGGGCCATTACACCCATCTTTACCTGCAGTCATGTAGGGCCATTAGACCCATCTTTACCTGCAGTCATGTAGGGCTGTTAGACCCATCTTTACCTGCAGTCAGGTAGGGCTGTTAGACCCATCTTTACCTGCAGTCATGTAGGGCCATTAGACCCATCTTTACCTGCAGTCAGGTAGGGCCATTACACCCATCTTTACCTGCAGTCAGGTAGGGCTGTTAGACCCATCTTTACCTGCAGTCAGGTAGGGCCATTAGACCCATCTTTACCTGCAGTCAGGTAGGGCTGTTAGACCCATCTTTACCTGCAGTCAGGTAGGGCCATTACACCCATCTTTACCTGCAGTCAGGTAGGGCTGTTAGACCCATCTATACCTGCTGTTAGACCCATCTTTACCTGCTGTTAGACCTATCTTTACCTGCTGTTAGACCCATCTTTACCTGCTGTTAGACCTATCTTTACCTGCTGTTAGACCCACCTTTACCTGCTGTTAGACCTATCTTTACCTGCTGTTAGACCCATCTTTACCTGCTGTTAGACCCACCTTTACCTGCTGTTAGACCTATCTTTACCTGCTGTTAGACCCATCTTTACCTGCTGTTAGACCCATCTTTACCTGCTGTTAGACCCATCTTTACCTGCTGTTAGACCTATCTTTACCTGCTGTTAGACCCATCTTTACTGTGACCTACTTAGGTCTGGTAATTTTATTTTGACATTTGTTATAATACCATATATGGTCTGTGGTGCAATGACCGGTTTTTTCCGCTGTCTTACTAAGAGAGTCTTAGACTCAGAAATTTTCCATCAAGAGATGATTGATTGATTCAGACCAGATGACCACCCCAACCAATGGCCTTATGATTTGAAGGTGACCTTCCATGTTGCCTAAGTCTATAAATAGACTGCGCACAGGCGTCTCAAGGCAGTTCATTGACCAGACGTCGTAGAGAGACATAAGCCCTGTGTGTTGCCGTGTAGTACTAAGTTGTTTAAGTAGCATATTCTTATATTACTTGTGGTTAAGTAATTCTTTATGCTTATAGCAGCGTTGTGTAAACTGGTGATTTTTCTGAAGTGTTAAAAGCTGCGATAGTGTATCATATTATTATTTCCCACAAATTGTAAGTTGGGTTTTGTTCATTCTGTAAATCTATTTTATTCCTGTATAAATCTAGTGTTCTGCCACGACTTTGTACACTCATTACAAGTTATATGCAGATTAAATGTATTGTTGGCATCAGTAGTTTCTCTAGTGTTTCCCCTAGACATCAATTACGAGTCCTAGCGAACTAGTGTGTTAACTTTCTTTTATTTAGGCTAGTCGCCATCTGTGTATAATCAGTTAAACGAATCCGGGAGTGTTCGCCAACTATCTGGCTGATAGATTGGTGTCCGTTACATTACCTGCTGTTAGACCCATCTTTACCTGCTGTTAGACCCATCTTTACCTGCTGTTAGACCTATCTTTACCTGCTGTTAGACCTATCTTTACCTGCTGTTAGACCCATCTTTACCTGCTGTTAGACCCACCTTTACCTGCTGTTAGACCCATCTTTACCTGCTGTTAGACCTATCTTTACCTGCTGTTAGACCCATCTTTACCTGCTGTTAGACCCACCTTTACCTGCTGTTAGACCTATCTTTACCTGCTGTTAGACCCATCTTTACCTGCTGTTAGACCTATCTTTACCTGCTGTTAGACCTATCTTTACCTGCTGTTAGACCCATCTTTACCTGCTGTTAGACCTATCTTTACCTGCAGTCAGGTAGGGCTGTTAGACCCATCTTTACCTGCTGTTAGACCCATCTTTACCTGCTGTTAGACCTATCTTTACCTGCAGTCAGGTAGGGCTGTTAGACCCATCTTTACCTGCTGTTAGACCCATCTTTACCTGCTGTTAGACCTATCTTTACCTGCAGTCAGGTAGGGCTGTTAGACCCATCTTTACCTGCTGTTAGACCCATCTTTATCTGCTGTTAGACCTATCTTTACCTGCAGTCAGGTAGGGCTGTTAGACCCATCTTTACCTGCTGTTAGACCCATCTTTACCTGCTGTTAGACCTATCTTTACCTGCAGTCAGGTAGGGCTGTTAGACCCATCTTTACCTGCTGTTAGACCCATCTTTACCTGCTGTTAGACCTATCTTTACCTGCAGTCAGGTAGGGCTGTTAGACCCATCTTTACCTGCTGTTAGACCCATCTTTACCTGCTGTTAGACCTATCTTTACCTGCAGTCAGGTAGGGCTGTTAGACCCATCTTTACCTGCTGTTAGACCCATCTTTACCTGCTGTTAGACCTATCTTTACCTGCAGTCAGGTAGGGCTGTTAGACCCATCTTTACCTGCTGTTAGACCCATATTTACCTGCTCTCAGGTAGGGTCATTAGACCTATCTTTACATATCACTTATTCTAATCTTCAGTATGATTTAAATTTGCCTAGACAATGGATCTTTGCAATGATGAAGGCTGAAGTGTTAGTTTATCTTTTCAGCAGCCCAAGCTTTGCAGACTTTAGCCAGACCAGCAGTAGCCAGGCTGTCAATGATTTACTGGACGTCTTCGCAGCTCCTCACACCAGCCCTGCTGCTGTACCCATCATGCTTCCCAGCACCGCTAACATGATGTCTCCCACAACTGGAATCATGCCCATGATGGCCCCCAACACTGGATCAATGCCTATGATGGCCCCCAATGCTGGATCAATGCCTATGATGACAGGTGTAATGATGTCACCAGGTTTGTCAATGCAAACTCCTGGAATAAATGTTGTAAGTACATCCACTAAGTTTCATCAATCAACTAGTCTCAGACTCTCTAATGTCCTAGTGTCAGACTCTCTAATGTCCTAGTCTCAGACTCTCTAATGTCCTAGTCTCAGACTCTCTAATGTCCTAGTCTCAGACTCTCTAATGTCCTAGTCTCAGACTCTCTAATGTCCTAGTGTCAGACTCTCTAATGTCCTAGTGTCAGACTCTCTAATGTCCTAGTGTCAGACTCTCTAATGTCCTAGTGTCAGACTCTCTAATGTCCTAGTGTCAGACTCTCTAATGTCCTAGTGTCAGACTCTCTAATGTCCTAGTGTCAGACTAATGTCCTAGTCTCAGACTCTCTAAAGTCCTAGTGTCTGACTCTCTAATGTCCTAGTGTCGGACTCTCTAATGTCCTAGTGTCAGACTCTCTAATGTCCTAGTGTCAGACTCTCTAATGTCCTAGTGTCAGACTCTCTAATGTCCTAGTGTCATAATCTAATGTCCTAGTCTCAGACTAATGTCCTAGTGTCAGACTCTCTAATGTCCTTTGTCAGACTCTCTAATGTCCTAGTCTCAGACTCTCTAATGTCCTAGTGTCAGACTCTCTAATGTCCTAGTGTCAGACTCTCTAATGTCCTAGTGTCAGACTCTCTAATGTCCTAGTCTCAGACTCTCTAATGTCCTAGTCTCAGACTCTCTAATGTCCTAGTGTCAGACTCTCTAATGTCCTAGTCTCAGACTCTCTAATGTCCTAGTGTCAGACTCTCTAATGTCCTAGTGTCAGACTCTCTAATGTCCTAGTGTCAGAATCTAATGTCCTAGTCTCAGACTAATGTCCTAGTGTCAGACTCTCTAATGTCCTTTGTCAGACTCTCTAATGTCCTAGTCTCAGACTCTCTAATGTCCTAGTCTCAGACTCTCTAATGTCCTAGTGTCAGACTCTCTAATGTCCTAGTGTCAGTTTTCTAATGTCCTAGTCTCAGACTCTCTAATGTCCTAGTGTCAGACTCTAATGTCCTTTGTCAGACTCTCTAATGTCCTAGTGTCAGACTCTCTAATGTCCTAGTGTCAGACTCTAATGTCCTTTGTCAGACTCTCTAATGTCCTAGTCTCAGACTCTCTTATATTCTTAAGTTATAGAGCTTTATATAAACTTATCTTCCATTAGATGCCTGGTATGATTCCTGGTACGCTGCCCAATCTGATGACCCAGGTAAGAAGATTTGTGGGTCAGAAACAATAGTTTGTTGAAAGCTAGGTCAAACTACAAATACCGCTTTAATTAGCACCAACCTAAGTTGGAATCATCAATCTTGCCTAGAGCTAGAAATGCATAGTGTTTCTTCCAGACATTTTTCTCCAGTTTGGGGGGGGGGGGGGGGGGGGAACTTGAAATTTTGGGACACACACACACACGTTAAAAGAATATATTTTCTATATAAATTTCATTTTGTTCAGGGGCGGGAAACTCCGCCCCCCCTCCCCCTGAAGGGATGCCTGGAAGAAACTCTGAATGCATACCTCCTCCTTTAGTGGTATGACTGTACTGACATCAAGAAACATAGCAAGTGTTTAGATGCTACAGCAATACTTTTTCAAAAGTTTGAATGGCTATATAGGATTTATTGGCAAAACACAAAGGAGCTTTTCTGTCTTTAGCAAAATGGGAAGCAAAATGGGATTAATCAGAAGAGTTAACACATTTCTAACCTTTGTATCCTGTGGCTCTCTGAAGAAATAGGCCTGTGCTTTGAGAAAATGGGGTGGAACTTAACTTGTCAAAAATCATTATAATTTTGCATTCATGTAGTATTCAGTCTTTTTAAGGGATGTGACTTTTTTCCATTTTTTAGCAGAAATCCAATGTTTCTGTTTCAGTTAGGTACAATTTTTACTTTCTCGTATATACGAAGTATAGAGAAAGTCTTGTAATCGTGCAAAAAAAAAAAAATCGAGATTTTTACAAATCTCGACGTTTTACACTTCACTGATACGGAAAAACATAATTTTGCAATCTTGTCTGTGTGTCTGTCTGTCTGTCTGTCTGTCTGTCTGTCTGTGTGTCTGTGTGTAAACACGATAACTTGAGCAGCGTTACAGCTAGGTTGATGAAATTTCATACATAAGTATTTTATCAAAATCGTAGATCCATATCAACTTTTGAGCGATTTCCGATAACCGGAAGTGGTACTTTTTCTACTTTGAATTTTTCAGAAGCCTATAACTTGAGTACTATTTCAGATAGATAAATGAAATTTCACATGTAAGTAAAAGATCTAATTCTCTACCTTCTGTCAAATTTTGAGTAATTTCCGTTGACCGGAAGTTGTAATTTACGCTACTTCCGATTTCTCAAAAAACTAATGTAAATTTTAAAAGTACTAATAATATTGTGCGCTTTTTTATTTGGCGTTCACTTGGTGTGCAATTAATTTGTCTACGAGATTTTATTCTATTTTTAAAACTTTAAGTATTTAAAATGGATTAAAAATCATGTCTATAGCCCAAGTTCCCATCCCCTGTTATTTTATATAAGAATATTCGAGAAAGTTTAGGGGAGATCACTCCCGGTTTATTCTGTTTCAGTTAGGTACAATTTTTCTGTTTCAGTTAGGTACAATTTTTCTGTTTCAGTTAGGTACAATTTTTCTGTTTCAGTTAGGTACAATTTTTCTGTTTCAGTTAGGTACAATTTTTCTGTTTCAGTTAGGTACAATTTTTCTGTTTCAGTTAGGTACAATTTTTCTGTTTCAGTTAGGTACGATTTTTCTGTTTCAGTTAGGTACAATTTTTCTGTTTCAGTTAGGTACAATTTTTCTGTTTCAGTTAGGTACAATTTTTCTGTTTCAGTTAGGTACAATTTTTCTGTTTCAGTTAGGTACAATTTTTCTGTTTCAGTTAGGTACAATTTTTCTGTTTCAGTTAGGTACAATTTTTCTGTTTCAGTTAGGTACAATTTTTCTGTTTCAGTTAGGTACAATTTTTCTGTTTCAGTTAGGTACAATTTTTCTGTTTCAGTTAGGTACAATTTTTCTGTTTCAGTTAGGTACAATTTTTCTGTTTCAGTTAGGTACAATTTTTCTGTTTCAGTTAGGTACAATTTTTCTGTTTCAGTTAGGTACAATTTTTCTGTTTCAGTTAGGTACAATTTTTCTGTTTCAGTTAGGTACAATTTTTCTGTTTCAGTTAGGTACAATTTTTCTGTTTCAGTTAGATACAATTTTTCTGTTTCAGTTAGGTACAATTTTTCTGTTTCAGTTAGGTACAATTTTTCTGTTACAGTTAGGTACAATTTTTCTGTTTCAGTTAGGTATAATTTTCCTCAGCTGATTTTTCAATTTTTGTCAATTTTTTTTGGAAAGTTTTATAATTGAGAAAAAAACCTGGAAATTACCTGTACAGCAACACATGCACATTCCACACATTCCTATTTAAATGGAGTGTTACAGTCCTTAGGTCAAATGGACAATTGAATATGTGGATTTCTTTTCAATTGGACGATTGTGCTAGGTCTGACGATGCTAGATTAATTAATATTAAATGTAGACAAAGATTCAGAATTTCTGCACTTTCCTAATTTTTCAGTAGGAAGTTTCTTTAGTCCAAATTTTGTGCTGTTTAATGAGGGGGAGGGGAGGGGGGTTTAGATAGTGTGACGTCGTACCATTGCATTTTACAAAGTAATGTAAGAAACTAAATTTTAGCGTAATTTTGCGTTTTAGAAAACTGTTTTTAATAAATTATAATAGAAAATAATTTAGCGTTTTAGAAAACTGTTTTAATAAATTAGAATAGAAAATAATTTCGCGTTTTAGAAAACTGTTTTGATAATTTATAATAGAAAATAATTTCGCGTTTTAGAAAACTGTTTTAATAAATTGTAATTTGAAATTATTTCAAGTTTTAGAAAACTGTTTTAATAAATTATAATAGAAAATAATTTCGCGTTTTAGAAAACTGTTTTAATAAATTGTAATATGAAATTATTTCAAGTTTTAGAAAACTGTTTTAATAAATTATAATAGAAAATAATTTCACGTTTTAGAAAACTGTTTTAAAAAATTATAATAGAAAATAATATCGCGTTTTAGAAAACTGTTTTAATAAATTGTAATATGAAATAATTTCAAGTTTTAGAAAACTGTTTTAATAAATTATAATAGAAAATAATTTAGCGTTTTAGAAAACTGTTTTAATAAATTATAACAGAAAATAATTTCGCGTTTTAGAAAACTGTTTTTATAAATTATAATAGAAAATAATTTCGCGTTTTAGAGAACTGCTTTAATGAATTATAATAGAAAATAATTAAAATACCCCACGTTGGTTGAGCTAAGTCAATATTTAATAAAAAATTGATTTTAGCCTGAGGTGTGACTTCATTGTATGGGGAAGTCTGGCTTTTTGTGACGGTGGGAGGTAAAAATAGTCAAAAAAAGCAGTGACATCATTAATGGATGAGCCCTAACAATCTACAGCTATTCCAAAAGAATAAATAACGATGGGGCTTGGATATCAAGATGGTTAATTTTAGTTCAAATATTTTTACAAGTAGTAATTCCAAAACACTTTTTAAAATAAACAGCAGACCTTTTCTAATTTGAGCTAATCTGGTCCATCTCAAATTCCAATTAATCTTAGGCTCTTTACAGATGAAGGCTTCTAATTTTACCAAGCCCATCTTTAAAAGAATATAATATGTAATATATGGCATAATTTAAAGTCAAAAACAAAGCACAACTAGACCATTACAGTTTAAATTAGCTAAATGTTAAAATAAAACTTAATTGTCACCTTAATTGCATTGTAAAATTTAATTAAAATAAACCGGGAATGATCTCCCCTAAACTTTCTTGAATATTCTTAATAAAACAACAGGGGATGGGAACTCTGGATTTAGTTATGATTTTTAATCCATTTTAAATACTTAAACTTTTTGAAATAGAATAGAATCTCATACAAAAAAGAATTGCGCACCAAGAGAACACAGAATAAAGATGTGTATAATAGTGCAGAATATTATTAGTACTTTATAAATTCACATGCATTTTTTGAGAAATCGGAAATAGTGAAAATTACTACTTCCGGTCAACGGAAATTACTCAAAATTTGACAGAAGGCAGAAAATTAGATCTTTTACTTACATGTGACATTTCATTTATGTATCTGAAATAGTACTCAAGTTATAGGCTTTTGAAAAATTCAAATTAGAAAAAGTTCCACTTCCGGTTATCGAAAATCGCTCAAAAGTTGATACGGATCTACGATTTTGATATAATACTTATATATGAAATTTCATCAACCTAGCTGTAATGGTACTCAAGTTATCGTGTTTACACACGCACATACACACATACATATGGACAAGATTGCAAAACTATGTTTTTCCGACTCAGGGAGGTGTGAAACAGAGATTTGCAAAAATCTCAAATTTTTTTTTTTGCACGATTACAATACTTTCTCCATACTTCGTATATACGAGAAAGTAAAAAAGTTGTTTATAAATTGCATGAGACAAGAATTTCAGTTCTATTTTAGAGTACCATTAACTTGTATTATTTAAACTATCAGCTACACCAAACAATTATTAGTTCACTAAAGGTGTCAGACTGCTTTAACTGCGGTTAAAAAAAAAGCATAATGAGTTACTGTCAGAAAAAATTTCCTTTTATTTTGGTCACATCGCTGCGTTTTGAATTGTCTTTGTTCTGTGTTCTGTTTCTCATATATGGTGTTCTGTTTTCTGTTTCTCATATATGGTGTTCTGTGTTCTGTTTCTCATATATGGTGTTCTGTGTTCTGTTTCTCATATATGGTGTTCTGTGTTCTGTTTCTCATATATGGTGTTCTGTGTTCTGTGTTCTGTTTCTCATATATGGTGTTCTGTGTTCTGTTTCTCATATATGGTGTTCTGTGTTCTGTTTCTCATATATGGTGTTCTGTGTTCTGTTTCTCATATATGGTGTTCTGTGTTCTGTTTCTCATATATGGTGTTCTGTGTTCTGTTTCTCATATATGGTGTTCTGTGTTCTGTTTCTCATATATGGTGTACAGGTGAAAGCTTGAGTCAGTGACAATCTTTTCTTATCTTTTAAAATTTTGATCTAGAACAATTGTCTGATATATGACATGTGATCTACAATTGTCTGATATATGACATGTGATCTACAATTGTCTGATATATGATCTACAATTGTCTGATATATGACATGTGATCTACAATTGTCTGATATATGATCTACAATTGTCTGATATATGACCTACAATTGTCTGATATATGACCTACAATTGTCTGATATATGACCTACAATTGTCTGATATATGACCTACAATTGTCTGATATATGACATGTGATCTACAATTGTCTGATATATGATCTACAATTGTCTGATATATGATCTACAATTGTCTGATATATGACCTACAATTGTCTGATAGATGACCTACAATTGTCTGATATATGACCTACAATTGTCTGATATATGACCTACAATTGTCTGATATATGACCTACAATTGTCTGATATATGACCTACAATTGTCTGATAGATGACCTACAATTGTCTGATATATGACCTACAATTGTCTGATATATGACCTACAATTGTCTGATATGTGAAGTGTGATTATTGGTGTTGAGAAATGCTTGATTTACTTTCAGCCCATGATGATGCACCAGCCAAATGTAATGATGGTGATGGGGACTAGTCCATCTATGCAAGTAGGTTTTTCTATCCCTCTAAAGTTAGCTAAGCTAGAATTTAAATGTGTGAACTATCTCTCTAAAGTAAGCTAAGCTATAATTGTGCTGTAACAAAAAAAACTTTGATAGAAAAACACATGGTCAGATGCCTCAGCCAAAGTCAACATCAACCTGGATAGCTTAAACCCTGCATCCAAGCTGAACAAGCCACAAGGTCCAGCTTTAAACCAGATGGCAGGACACCCACAAGGTGCGTTCACTTTCTAGAGAACTTTTCAGATAGACTTTCCATTAGAAGTTGCTAGAGAACTTTTCAGATAGACTTTCCATTAGAAGTTGCTAGAGAACTTTTCAGATACTTTCCATTAGAAGTTGCTAGAGAACTTTTCAGATAGACTTTCCATTAGAAGTTGCTAGAGAACTTTTCAGATAGACTTTCCAATAGAAGTTGCTAGAGAACTTTTCAGATAGACTTTCCAATAGAAGTTGCTAGAGAACTTTTCAGATAGACTTTCCAATAGAAGTTGCTAGAGAACTTTTCAGATAGACTTTCTATTAGAAGTATCTAGAAAACTTTTCAGATACTTTCCATTAGAAGTATCTAGAGAACTTTTCAGATAGACTTTCCAATAGAAGTTGCTAGAGAACTTTTCAGATACTTTCCATTAGAAGTATCTAGAGAACTTTTCAGATAGACTTTCCATTAGAAGTTTCTAGAGAACTTTTCAGATACTTTCCATTAGAAGTATCTAGAGAACTTTTCAGATAGACTTTCCATTAGAAGTTTCTAGAGAACTTTTCAGATACTTTCCATTAGAAGTATCTAGAGAACTTTTCAGATAGACTTTCCATTAGAAGTTTCTAGAGAACTTTTCAGATAGACTTTCCATTAGAAGTATCTAGAGAACTTTTCAGATAGACTTTCCATTAGAAGTTTCTAGAGAACTTTTCAGATAGACTTTCCATTAGAAGTTTCTAGAGAACTTTTCAGATAGACTTTCCATTAGAAGTTTCTAGAGAACTTTTCAGATAGACTTTCCATTAGAAGTATCTAGAGAACTTTTCAGATAGACTTTCCATTAGAAGTTTCTAGAGAACTTTTCAGATAGACTTTCCATTAGAAGTTTCTAGAGAACTTTTCAGATACTTTCCATTAGAAGTATCTAGAGAACTTTTCAGATAGACTTTCCATTAGAAGTTTCTAGAGAACTTTTCAGATAGACTTTCCATTAGAAGTTTCTAGAGAACTTTTCAGATAGACTTTCCATTAGAAGTATCTAGAGAACTTTTCAGATAGACTTTCCATTAGAAGTTTCTAGAGAACTTTTCAGATAGACTTTCCATTAGAAGTTTCTAGAGAACTTTTCAGATACTTTCCATTAGAAGTATCTAGAGAACTTTTCAGATAGACTTTCCATTAGAAGTTTCTAGAGAACTTTTCAGATAGACTTTCCATTAGAAGTTTCTAGAGAACTTTTCAGATAGACTTTCCATTAGAAGTATCTAGAGAACTTTTCAGATAGACTTTCCATTAGAAGTTTCTAGAGAACTTTTCAGATAGACTTTCCATTAGAAGTTTCTAGAGAACTTTTCAGATAGACTTTCCATTAGAAGTTTCTAGAGAACTTTTCAGATAGACTTTCTATTAGAAGTTTCTAGAGAACTTTTCAGATAGACTTTCCATTAGAAGTTTCTAGAGAACTTTTCAGATAGACTTTCCATTAGAAGTTTCTAGAGAACTTTTCAGATAGACTTTCCATTAGAAGTTTCTAGAGAACTTTTCAGATAGACTTTCCATTAGAAGTTTCTAGAGAACTTTTCAGATAGACTTTCCATTAGAAGTTTCTAGAGAACTTTTCAGATAGACTTTCCATTAGAAGTTTCTAGAGAACTTTTCAGATAGACTTTCCATTAGAAGTATCTAGAGAACTTTTCAGATAGACTTTCCATTAGAAGTTTCTAGAGAACTTTTCAGATAGACTTTCCATTAGAAGTTTCTAGAGAACTTTTCAGATAGACTTTCCATTAGAAGTTTCTAGAGAACTTTTCAGATAGACTTTCTATTAGAAGTTTCTAGAGAACTTTTCAGATAGACTTTCCATTAGAAGTTTCTAGAGAACTTTTCAGATAGACTTTCCATTAGAAGTTTCTAGAGAACTTTTCAGATAGACTTTCCATTAGAAGTTTCTAGAGAACTTTTCAGATAGACTTTCCATTAGAAGTTTCTAGAGAACTTTTCAGATAGACTTTCCATTAGAAGTTGCTAGAGAACTTTTCAGATAGACTTTCCATTAGAAGTTTCTAGAGAACTTTTCAGTGATGGAAATGTTAACCTGACATGAGTGAATCAAAACTTTGTTTGCTAGACATTTATGTGTTGAGGTTGGTCATAGGTTTGTATGTGTTGAGGTTGGTCATAGGTTTGTATATGTTGAAGTTGTCTATAGCCTTTTATATGTTGAAGTTGTCTATAGCTTTGTATGTGTTGAAGTTGGCCATAGGTTTGTATGTGTTAAAATAGTCTACAGATTTGTATGTGTTAAGGTTGGTCATAGGTTTGTATATGTTGAAGCTGTCTATAGCTTTGTATGTGTTGAAGTTGGCCATAGGCTTGTATATGTTGAAGTTGGCCATAGGCTTGTATATGTTGAAGTTGGCCATAGGCTTGTATATGTTGAAGTTGGCCATAGGTTTGTATATGTTGAAGCTGTCTACAGATTTGTATATGTTGAAGTTGGCCATAGGCTTGTATATGTTGAAGTTGGCCATAGATTTGTATATGTTGAAGTTGGCCATAGATTTGTATATGTTGAAGTTGGCCATAGATTTGTATATGTTGAAGTTGGCCATAGATTTGTATATGTTGAAGCTGTCTTTTCTATCCCTCTAAGGTATGCTGTGGTACCCAGATGTTTACACAGGTAGGCTGCATGTCAGCTCTTTAATCTTTGTGCTTTCATTTCTTTATATGTTGGATTTTCAGTTTCTAAACACTTGAAATGGTTAATTATAATATTTTTTTGTGCTGGCCCTTTATACTGTTTTGCCATTTTAAGGCATCAAAAAAAAATGTTGGCATGAAGGATGTTTTATTTTATTATTCTCTGTCTAGATCTGTCTAGATGTGCTTTCACATGTATCACTTTCACCAATTATATAGTTTAATTTGCTGGGATATAGTTTTATGTGCCTGGATATAGTTTGATAGGTTGGGATATAGTTTTATGTGTTGGGATATAGTTTGATATGCTGGGATATAGATTGATAGGTTGGGATATAGTTTGATGTGCCGGGATATAGTTTGATGTGCCGGGATATAGTTTTTTGTGCTGGGATATAGTTTGTTGTGCTGGGATATAGTTTGATGTGCTGGGATAGTTTGTTGTGTTGGGATATAGTTTGATGTGCTGGGATATAGTTTGTTAATTGTGCTGGGATAGTTTGTTGTGTTGGGATATAGTTTGATGTGCTGGGATATAGTTTGTTGTGCTGGGATATAGTTTGTTAATTGTGCTGGGATATAGTTTGATGTGCTGGGATATAGTTTGTTGTGCTGGGATATAGTTTGATGTGCTGGGATATAGTTTGTTGTGTTGGGATATAGTTTGATGTGCTGGGATATAGTTTGTTGTGTTGGGATATAGTTTGTTGTGTTGGGATATAGTTTGATGTGCTGGGATATAGTTTGATATGCTGGGATATAGATTGATAGGTTGGGATATAGTTTGATGTGCCGGGATATAGTTTGATGTGCCGGGATATAGTTTTTTGTGCTGGGATATAGTTTGTTGTGCTGGGATATAGTTTGATGTGCTGGGATAGTTTGTTGTGTTGGGATATAGTTTGATTTGCTGGGATATAGTTTGTTAATTGTGCTGGGATATAGTTTGATGTGCTGGGATATAGTTTGTTGTGCTGGGATATAGTTTGATGTGCTGGGATATAGTTTGTTGTGTTGGGATATAGTTTGATGTGCTGGGATATAGTTTGTTGTGTTGGGATATAGTTTGATGTGCTGGGATATAGTTTGTTAATTGTGCTGGGATATAGTTTGTTAATTGTGCTGAGATATAGTTTGTTAATTGTGCTGGGATATAGTTTGTTAATTGTGCTGGGATATAGTTTGTTGTGCTGGGATATAGTTTGTTGTGCTGGGATATAGTTTGTTAATTGTGCTGGGATAGTTTGTTGTGCTGGGATATAGTTTGATGTGCTGGGATATAGTTTGTTGTGCTGGGATATAGTTTGTTGTGCTGGGATATAGTTTGTTAATTGTGCTGGGATATAGTTTGATGTGCTGGGATATAGTTTGTTGTGCTGGGATATAGTTTGTTGTGCTGGGATATAGTTTGTTAATTGTGCTGAGATAAACCTCTGAAAAACTCTTGACAGGCATGAACCAGGGCATGGCCAACCTGACAGGCATGAACCAGGGCATGGCCAACCTGACAGGCATGAACCAGGGCATGGCCAACCTGACAGGCATGAACCAGGGCATGGCCAACCTGAGCCTGCAGAGTCAACCCAACCTGATGGGACGGCCAGTTATTGGTGAGATTTTTTGTTCAACTTCCAGCAGGTAATTGGAGCCTGGGCTGCTATAACAGATCTCTTGTTTCAACAGGAATGATGCCTCAAGCCAACATGGGAGTACAGATGATGTCATCATCAAATATGGCAGCTAATGCTTCCTTCCAAAAGCGGACTGATACAGCATTTTCAGCTTTTGGAAATCTGAAAAACTAAGGGTCCACATTGTATGGGGGGGGGGGGGGATGCCTACAAACTCTGAGAGAAACAGACATTGACTTGGGGACAGACACATGCTTTTGTACATCTATGCACATTTGCAATGATGCCACCATCCACACAACAAATCTATCCGCGGATCATTGATTGATAGTTTTCTTTGTAACCCACACAGTTGATGGTGGCCAGATTAATTGACTTTCATTCCATTATCTCTGGCTTGAGCCAGACCTATCTTGTGATTGGCTACAGGGGAGCCACTTGTTACTGGGACTACTTTGGGCTGTGCATATCTAGTGTAAAATAAAGGTAAAAAAAACATGGCTTTTGTTATCATTGTAGACCTGGTGCTTTATTGAGAGCCAGTTACAAGGCACAGTGTGCATAGAGTACAACTAAAGTCGCAAGCAAGACAAACACTAATGTACATAAAACTTAGTCTCTTGACATGAAACATTGAGTAGCAATTCTATCAAGTCAGCCTGCCAGAAGTGTGAGCAGCTTAGTCTGAAATGGTCCAGATTTTGAGGTTTGAATCCTGGCCAACTGTAACCGCTGTGTTGTTGTCCAGCCACGCCACTTGGTTGACATGACTGAGTGGGTGAGCTGGGGAAGTCACATGACTACGTCAAGCACAACAAACTACTAACAATAAAAGCTTATACACATTTGGTGGGTGGTAAACATGCTTTGGTGGCTCCTCCTTGGTTAAACCCACATTTTAAAGTCATTCAATTGTGCATGTCCAGATTTGAGCACATCTAATATTTTTACTTCCTGTAAAATATCGGTTGGAAAACATAGGGCTAATGATCAGTGTGGACGGAGTGGCAGAGAATGGTAGAGAGCTAGACTGCTAACCTGTCTGTCTCGAATCCGAGGTTCAAGTTAGTAGACTGTCCCTGAGTTCACCCAGCTCTAATGGGTACCTAACTAATGTTAGGGAAAATAAAGGCGGCTGGGCATAGTGCTGACTATACTATCCCTTTATATGCTGAGGTCACAGAAACAGGTGAACTCTACTTCACTTTCCCCATAGACCGTTTGGAAAGGGGACTTTAAAAAACAATGATCAATGTATTTTCCTGGTCATAGTAAAGCATAATAATACTTCAAGTTGATGAACCCTCACCTTTAATACTTGGCTTCTGACCCTTGAACTTGCCCACCTCCCAGAGAATAATTGATGAATCAATGCTGCCAGAGAGAAACCTCCTAGAGTCAGGTGACCACTTGAGGCAGGTGACCTTGGCTGTGTGTTGCTCACCCCACCCACCCAGTTCATCCTGTCAATACAAGTGCTTCAGGTCAAGTAATACCTACACATCAACCCACTGACCTACACATCAACCCACCCAGTTCATCCTGTCAATACAAGTGCTTCAGGTCAAGTAATACCTACACATCAACCCACCCAGTTCATCCTGTCGATACAAGTGCTTCAGGTCAAGTAATACCTACACATCAACCCACCCAGCTCATCCTGTCAATACAAGTGCTTCAGGTCAAGTAATACCTACACATCAACCCACCCAGTTCATCCTGTCAATACAAGTGCTTCAGGTCAAGTAATACCTACACATCAACCCACCCAGTTCATCCTGTCAATTCAAATTCCACTCATATTTCTAGCTGGATGGTTTCATCAGAAAAATTGATGTAGAAGGTACTTTCTCGTATACAGAGTATAGAGAAAGTATTATAATCATGTACAAAAATCACATAAAATTTTGACAGTTTTCATCGCTGTACACTTCAGTACTTCAGCATATAGATTTACTAAGTATAGGGGACTTATTTTAATTGGGCAAAAATTATAAATGCAGATTTATCAAAATTTCAGGGTTCTCTATGCGTAAACGAGTCGGAAAAACTGGGCTTTCCAAATTTGTTTGTGTATATGTGTCTGTGAACACGATAACTTTAGTACTGTTGATGAAATTTCATATACAAGTATATCAAATTTGTAGTTCTGTATTAACTTTCTAGAGGTGGGAACTTATTCTACTTTTGGTTTCTTAAAAGCCTATCTTCTTCTTCTTCTTCGTTCTTAATTATTAGTGTTGAAGGGGATCGAGATTTATCTGCCAGTGGGTTTGAACTCGAGAATTTTGTTCAACCATGAGCTTTTTTGCCGACTCGACCACGCCTCCAACACAATTAAGCGTTACGTGTCAACTGGTTATGCGCCATTGAGGCCATTGACTCCGATTTCAGCCTGCTTTTCTTTTTGGATTTGCTTCCATAGCCTTTGTCCAACCAAGAACAAACTACAAGGCAGCAGTTGTTTAATTTTGGAGTTGTCTCTCCTAGAAGAGTGGCTGTCCCCAGCTAACGAGCCTCATCTGCCCGAGGGTTCGAACTCGAGACTTTTCGGTTTAGCAACCATGAGCTTTACCGACTCGACCACGCCGACCCTTAAAAGCCTATAATAACGAAATGTTCACACATAAGTAAAAGATCTAATTCTCTAACTTCTGTCAAATTTTGAATGATTCCTGTTGACCAGAAGTAGTAATTTACGCAATTTCCAATTTCTCAAATAATGCGTGAATTTATAAAGTACTAATAATATTCCGCATTATTATACACAGATTGTTTGGCTTTCACTTGGTGCACAATTCTTTTTTTTCTACGAGATTCTATTTTATTTTAAAAGTTTAAGTTATTAAAAATTGATTAAAAAGCATGTCTATATGCTGCGTTGCCATCCACCGTAGTGTTATATAAGGATATTCGAGAAAGTTTAGGGGAGGTCACTCTCGGTTTATTTGTACTGCAATCAAGCCCATTAGAAGTCAAGTATATCCAGCCAGCCTCCACCCTCAAAATCATTTACCTTCCATTCATCAACATGAAAGACGCGGATTTTATTTTTGGTGGCAACAGCCAGCCAGGCCCCATCAGGTGAGTAGTCCAGTGCTGCCACTTCAGGACAAGGCTCCGTCCTCATCTCTGTCAGCTGCTGGTTCTTGATGCTGTACACATGCAGCTGGCTCTTCTACAAACACAACATACACTTGATCCAACACATTTTTAAACACAACATACACTTGATCCAACACATTTTTAAACACAACATACACCTGATCCAACACATTTTTAAACACAACATACACTTGATCCAACAACATACACTTGATCCAACAACATACACTTGATCCAACACATTTTTAAACACAACATACACTTGATCCAACACATTTTCAAACTAATCAAACCCAACATTAACTTGACCCAACCCAACATATATGGATTTAAAAATTACCCCCCCCCCCCCCCAGACAACTTACAGATCCCACTGCCACCTCGTGTCCACCTGGACGTATGCTGATGCTTAAAGCTTCAAATTGAACAGGTAAAGTTGATAGTTTCCTACCTGGAGCTTGAATAACAAGTAGCTAAACCAAATGGAGAATCAAATAGAAGAATAATTAGAGAGAATTGGCTATAAATCACAACTTACATGATGTAGGCAAATCACAACTTACATGATGTAGGCAAACTACAACTTACATGATGTAGGCAAATCACAACTTACATGATGTAGGCAAACCACAACTTACATGATGTAGGCAAATCACAACTTACATGATGTAGGCAAATCACAACTTACATGATGTAGGCAAATCACAACTTACATGATGTAGGCAAATCACAACTTACATGATGTAGGCAAATCACAACTTACATGATGTAGGCAAATCACAACTTACATGATGTAGGCAAATCACAACTTACATGATGTAGGCAAATCACAACTTACATGATGTAGGCAAATCACAACTTACATGATGTAGGCAAATCACAACTTACATGATGTAGGCAAATCACAACTTACATGATGTAGGCAAATCACAACTTACATGATGTAGGCAAATCACAACTTACATGATGTAGGCAAATCACAACTTACATGATGTAGGCAAATCACAACTTACATGATGTAGGCAAATCACAACTTACATGATGTAGGCAAATCACAACTTACATGATGTAGGCAAATCACAACTTACATGATGTAGGCAAATCACAACTTACATGATGTAGGCAAATCACAACTTACATGATGTAGGCAAATCACAACTTACATGATGTAGGCAAATCACAACTTACATGATGTAGGCAAGCCACTATGGATACACCATTTTTGGAGTCAACAGAGCGAGGTTGGGAGTCTAATTTGAGTGCATCATTACTGAAAGAAAAGTTGGTCAGCAATGTACTGCATTCTCAAACTACTGTTTTATTCTTGAATTGTTTAAAGTTTAACTCCAGTTAATCATTGATGAACTAACTAGCCTTGATGCAAGAATCACCTGTACTCCAGTGCAGCAGCCCTAGTAAAGCGGATGGTGTCATCCATGGATACAGACACCAAATAGTCTCCATCCAGCACCAAGCCAGTCACCTGGTTGCTGTGACCTTTTCCTTTCAAGTCCTCAGTTGCACTAGTAGCAGCATTCCACCGGACTGGGTGTGGGGGTCAAGGTCACATCAAGTAGGGTCAAAGGTCAGGTAGGCATGAAGGTGGGTCAAAGGTCAGGTAGTTAGGCATGAAGGTGGGTCAAGGGTCAGGTAGGCATGAAGATGGGTCAAAGGTCAGGTAGTTAGGCATGAAGGTGGGTCAAAGGTCAGGTAGTTAGGCATGAAGGTGGGTCAAAGGCCAGGTAGTTAGGCATGAAGGTGGGTCAAAGGTCAGGTAGTCAGACATGAAGGTGGGTCAAAGGTCAGGTAGTAAGGCATGAAGGTGGGGGTCAAAGGTCAGGTAATTAAGTGGTACGAGAGAGATATAAAGGATACTGATGAGCCCATCACTGCTAGCTGTGAAGACATGTTGGCCATCAATGGCCAGGGCCATAATAGGCTTGTTGTGGCCCTGTAAAACAAATGTTTACCCTGAATTATTTCAGCACATCTACTGATGTAAGATGGGGTAACTGGTGGAATGAAAATATTTTTTTTTAAATGATCTAAAACCAGAATAGTTTTTAACAACTTCCTACAAAACATTAAAAATTGACTTCCTTCCTATATGGGCAAGTTAAGGACATCCAATAAGTGCAAGCTTAAGGACGTCCTATATGGGCAAGCTTAAGGACATCCTCTATGTGCAAGCTTAAACTTAAGGACATCCTATATGGGCAAACATAAGGACATCCTATATGGGCAAGCTTAAGGACATCCTATATGGGCAAACTTAAGGACATCCTATATGGGCAAGCTTAAGGACATCCTCTATGGGCAAGCTTAAACTTAAGGACATCCTATATGGGCAAACATATGGACATCCTATATGGGCAAGCTTAAGGACATCCTATATGGGCAAGCTTAAGGACATCCTATATGGGCAAGCTTAAGGACATCCTATATGGGCAAGCTTAAGGACATCCTATATGGGCAAGCTTAAGGACATCCTATATGGGCAAGCTTAAGGACATCCTATATGGGCAAGCTTAAGGACATCCTATATGGGCAAGTTTAAGGACATCCTATATGGGCAAGCTTAAACTTAAGGACATCCTATATGGGCAAGCATAAGGACATCCTATATGGGCAAGCTTAAGGACATCCTATATGGGCAAGCTTAAACTTAAGGACATCCTATATGGGCAAGTTAAGGACATCCTATATGGGCAAGCTTAAGGACATCCTATATGGGCAAGCTTAAGGACATCCTATATGGGCAAGTTAAGGACATCCTATATGGGCAAGCTTAAGGACATCCTATATGGGCAAGCTTAAGGACATCCTATATGGGCAAGCTTAAGGACATCCTATATGGGCAAACTTAAGGACATCCTATATGGGCAAGCTTAAGGACATCCTATATGGGCAAACTTAAGGACATCCTATATGGGCAAGCTTAAGGACATCCTCTATGGGCAAGCTTAAACTTAAGGACATCCTATATGGGCAAACATAAGGACATCCTATATGGGCAAGCTTAAGGACATCCTATATGGGCAAGCTTAAGGACATCCTATATGGGCAAGCTTAAGGACATCCTATATGGGCAAGCTTAAGGACATCCTATATGGGCAAGCTTAAGGACATCCTATATGGGCAAGCTTAAGGACATCCTATATGGGCAAGTTTAAGGACATCCTATATGGGCAAGTTTAAGGACATCCTATATGGGCAAGCTTAAACTTAAGGACATCCTATATGGGCAAGCATAAGGACATCCTATATGGGCAAGCTTAAGGACATCCTATATGGGCAAGCTTAAACTTAAGGACATCCTATATGGGCAAGTTAAGGACATCCTATATGGGCAAGCTTAAGGACATCCTATATGGGCAAGCTTAAGGACATCCTATATGGGCAAGTTAAGGACATCCTATATGGGCAAGCTTAAGGACATCCTATATGGGCAAGCTTAAGGACATCCTATATGGGCAAGCTTAAGGACATCCTATATGGGCAAGCTTAAGGACATCCTATATGGGCAAGCTTAAGGACATCCTATATGGGCAAGCTTAAGGACATCCTATATGGGCAAGCTTAAGGACATCCTATATGGGCAAGCTTAAGGACATCCTATATGGGCAAGCTTAAGGACATCCTATATGGGCAAGCTTAAGGACATCCTATATGGGCAAGCTTAAGGACATCCTATATGGGCAAGCTTAAGGACATCTTATATGGGCAAACTTAAGGACATCCTATATGGGCAAGCTTAAGGACATCCTATATGGGCAAGCTTAAGGACATCTTATATGGGAAAACTTAAGGACATCCTATATGGGCAAGCTTAAGGACATCCTATATGGGCAAGCTTAAGGACATCTTATATGGGCAAGCTTAAGGACATCCTATATGGGCAAGCTTAAACTTAAGGACATCCTATATGGGCAAGTTTAAGGACATCCTATATGGGCAAGCTTAAACTTAAGGACATCCTATATGGGCAAGTTTAAGGACATCCTATATGGGCAAGCTTAAGGACATCCTATATGGGCAAGCTTAAGGACATCCTATATGGGCAAGCTTAAGGACATCCTATATGGGCAAACTTAAGGACATCTTCCAACCCCAACATTTTCAAAAAGAATAATGTCAAACAAAAAACTGGCAAGCCATCTTTTCAAACTTTGTTTTGGTCATCTAATTTTATCTAACCTTAATGACCTTAAGTGAACTCTACTTCACTTGCCCTATAGACCGTCAGGTTTGAAGAGGGAACTTTTTTTTTAATGATCTTGCCTGGTGTGTTAGTTACCTTAATGACTTTGCCAGGTGTGTTAGTTACCTTAATGACCTTGCCAGCTGTGTTAGTTACCTTAATGACCTTGCCTGGTGTGTTAGTTACCTTAATGACCTTGCCAGGTGTGTTAGTTACCATAACGACATTGCCAGATGTGTTAGTTACCTTAATGACCTTGCCAGATGTGTTAGTTACCTTAATGACCTTGCCAGCTGTGTTAGTTACCTTAATGACTTTGCCAGGTGTGTTAGTTACCATAACGACATTGCTAGATGTGTTAGTTACCTTAATGACTTTGCCAGGTGTGTTAGTTACCTTAATGACCTTGCCAGCTGTGTTAGTTACCTTAATGACCTTGCCTGGTGTGATAGTTACCTTAATGACCTTGCCAGGTGTGTTAGTTACCTTAATGACCTTGCCAGATGTGTTAGTTACCTTAATGACCTTGCCAGCTGTGTTAGTTACCTTAATGACTTTGCCAGGTATGTTAGTTACCTTAATGACCTTGCCAGCTGTGTTAGTTACCTTAATGACCTTGCCTGGTGTGATAGTTACCTTAATGACCTTGCCAGGTGTGTTAGTTACCTTAATGACCTTGCCAGATGTGTTAGTTACCTTAATGACCTTGCCAGCTGTGTTAGTTACCTTAATGACTTTGCCAGGTATGTTAGTTACCTTAATGACCTTGCCAGCTGTGTTAGTTACCTTAATGACCTTGCCTGGTGTGATAGTTACCTTAATGACCTTGCCTGGTGTGATAGTTACCTTAATGACCTTGCCAGGTGTGTTAGTTACCTTAATGACCTTGCCAGATGTGTTAGTTACCTTAATGACCTTGCCAGCTGTGTTAGTTACCTTAATGACTTTGCCAGGTGTGTTAGTTACCTTAATGACCTTGCCAGCTGTGTTAGTTACCTTAATGACCTTGCCTGGTGTGTTAGTTACCTTAATGACCTTGCCAGGTGTGTTAGTTACCTTAATGACCTTGCCAGCTGTGTTAGTTACCTTAATGACCTTGCCAGGTGTGTTAGTTACCTTAATGACCTTGCGTGGTGCTGCGGGGCTGGAGATATCTAAGAAGTTGATGTAGCCAGAGAGAGAGACTGTCAAAATGTCCTCCCCCTGCCAGAGACAGCCCACCTGCATGTCTGAGACCTGCGTCCCCAGCACAAACTCCCTGGCAGGTACAGCAGAACATTGCATTAGCATCAAAGACTGCCCTCCACACAAAACTTCTGACATCCACTCAACTTTATGCCCACCATACACATCTCTATGTGATCATCCCCCCCCCCCCCAGCCAAAGCTAGTGATATCCCTCCAGCCTAAGCTAGTGACACCCCCCTCCCCCCCTCCCAGTTATAGCTTTGAAATGAAAGACTCACGTGTCCAGTTGCCGACCAACGATGTCCCAAATTTTGGCCGTCTTGTCCCCAGATACAGAGAGCAGCTTCTTGCCATCAGGACTGAAACAAATCTGCCAGAGTTGACTCTGTTAGCTGGGGCTTTCTTACAATGGTTGCATGACAAAAGACTTGATGACAAATAATCTCACGCCTAAAAAATCTCAGGCCTAAAAAATCTCATGACGAAGGATCTCAGGCCTAAAAATCAGAACTAAAAATCTCATGTGAAAAATACTAATGGCTGTTTTAAAATCAACACTTCCTATTCAAACAGATTTCAACAGTATTGTTTGATCAGATTTTGTCCTATGGTTTTGTTCAACAGTAGCAGATGATTTATTATTATCTTTTTAATAGTATATTACTATTATATATAGTAAGAAAATCAGCTATTTTCTCCTTTTAAGAATTAAAAGTTTTTCATTAAAACGTTTTTTATGCATTTAAAAAAGTATTTTTTTAATACCATAGAGTTGCATGACTAAAAACCAAATGAACATGACAATGCGAGTATAATAATAGTGCGGAATAGTTGTTGGACAGCTGACTAGTTTTATAAAATTTTAATTAATTCATAAAAATTAATTAGTTATGTAATTAAGTCAAATTTGATTTTATATTGAATTGTCATCGGGTCTTGACCCACGTGCCAAATTTCAGAGAAATTGGTCGGTTAGAAGTGCTCGAAATTTGGATCTAGACAGACAGACAAAGTGAAAGACAAGGAAGCAGGTCAAATCATAGCTTGTAAAAACCAATGATGCATTTGTTTGATCCACATAAATATTATGGAACAAGGAAACTTTAGATAGATTTGAAATGTATTGTCATCTTCTTTCTTTTGGTGAGATTAGCATTTTGTCATTTGGTGAGATTAGCATTTGGTCATTTGGTGAGATTAGCATTTGGTCATTTGGTGAGATTAGCATTATGTCATTTGGTGAGATTAGCATTTGGTCATTTGGTGAGATTAGCATTTTGTCATTTGGTGAGATTAGCATTTGGTCATTTGGTGAGATTAGCATTTGGTCAGTGAGATTAGCATTTTATCATTTGGTGAAATTATCATTTTATCATTTGGTGAGATTAGCATTTTGTCATTTGGTGAGATTAGCATTTTGTCATTTGGTGAGATTAGCATTATGTCATTTGGTGAGATTAGCATTTGGTCATTTGGTGAGATTAGCATTTGGTCATTTGGTGAGATTAGCATTTGGTCATTTGGTGAGATTAGCATTTGGTCATTTGGTGAGATTAGCATTTTGTCATTTGGTGAGATTAGCATTTTGTCATCTGGTGAGATTAGCATTTTGTCATTTGGTGAGATTAGCATTTTGTCATTTGGTGAGATTAGCATTTTGTCATGTGGATCTAACTCAAGAAAAAACTCACAGCATAAATCCCTCCAGCGTGGGCCTTTGGTGCGCCAAGTTCAGACAGCAATTCAGACGTCTTGCCATCAAATATAAACAGCTGAGAAACAGATGAGTAAACTTGACAAATATAAACAGATGAGTAAACTTGACAAATATAAACAGCTGAGAAACAGATGAGTAAACTTGACAAATATAAACAGATGGGTAAACTTGACAAATATAAACAGCTGAGAAACAGATGAGTAAACTTGACAAATATAAACAGATGGGTAAACTTGACAAATATAAACAGCTGAGAAACAGATGAGTAAACTTGACAAATATAAACAGATGGGTAAACTTGACAAATATAAACAGCTGAGAAACAGATGAGTAAACTTGACAAATATAAACAGAAGAGAAACAGATGAGTAAACTTGACAAATATAAACACCTGAGAAACAGATGAGTAAACTTGACAAATATAAACAGATGCATAAACTTGACAAATATAAACAGAAGAGAAACAGATGAGTAAACTTGACAAATATAAACAGCTGAGAAACAGGTGAGTAAACTTGACAAATATAAACAGAAGAGAAACAGATGAGTAAACTTGACAAATATAAACAGAAGAGTAAACTTGACAAATATAAACAGATGAGTAAACTTGACAAATATAAACAGAAGAGTAAACTTGACAAATATAAACAGATGAGTAAACTTGACAAATATAAACAGAAGAGTAAACTTGACAAATATAAACAGATGAGTAAACTTGACAAATATAAACAGAAGAGAAACAGATGAGTAAACTTGACAAATATAAACACCTGAGAAACAGATGAGTAAACTTGACAAATATAAACAGCTGAGAACAGATGTGTAGACTGTTGCATTATGTCTTGTTACTGATTGTTACGTCCCTTGTATTATGTATATTATAGTTATGTCCCTTGAGTGTTTACCATGCAGTTTATGTGTACCTGTGAGTTAGTTAACAGCAGACAGACCCAGAGACAAGTCGTGTAGTCTATGCTGTCTAGTGTAATGAAGTATCAAGATTAACTGAAGAAACTGTGTCTGTTGTTGTAGGTTAACTCAGGGAACTGTGTCTGTTGTTGGTTAACTCAGGGAACTGTGTCTGTTGTAGGTTAACTCAGGGAACTGTGTCTGTTGTTGTAGGTTAACTCAGGAAACTGTGTCTGTTGTTGGTTAACTCAGGGAACTGTGTTGTTGTAGGTTAACTCAGGGAACTGTGTCTGTTGTTGTAGGTTAACTCAGGGAACTGTGTCTGTTGTTGTAGGTTAACTCAGGGAACTGTGTCTGTTGTTGGTTAACTCAGGGAACTGTGTCTGTTGTTGTAGGTTAACTCAGGGAACTGTGTCTGTTGTTGTAGGTTAACTCAGGGAACTGTGTCTGTTGTTTTAGGTTAACTCAGGGAACTGTGTCTGTTGTAGGTTAACTCAGGGAACTGTGTCTGTTGTTGTAGGTTAACTCAGGGAACTGTGTCTGTTGTTGTAGGTTAACTCAGGGAACTGTGTCTGTTGTTTTAGGTTAACTCAGGGAACTGTGTCTGTTGTAGGTTAACTCAGGGAACTGTGTCTGTTGTTGTAGGTTAACTCAGGGAACTGTGTCTGTTGTTTTAGGTTAACTCAGGGAACTGTGTCTGTTGTAGGTTAACTCAGGGAACTGTGTCTGTTGTTGTAGGTTAACTCAGGGAACTGTGTCTGTTGTTGTAGGTTAACTCAGGGAACTGTGTTGTTGTAGGTTAACTCAGGGAACTGTGTTGTTGTAGGTTAACTCAGGGAACTGTGTCTGTTGTTGTAGGTTAACTCAGGGAACTGTGTCTGTTGTTGTAGGTTAACTCAGGGAACTGTGTCTGTTGTTGTAGGTTAACTCAGGGAACTGTGTCTGTTGTTGGTTAACTCAGGGAACTGTGTCTGTTGTTGTAGGTTAACTCAGGGAACTGTGTCTGTTGTTGTAATGTAACATACACTTGAAACTCTGAGATACAAGCAATGAACCTTGTAGTTAAGTCACTGTTGTCATGGTGACCAACCAAGCACTCACCTTCCCATCAGCACCGCCAGAAATAAAGATCTCCCCGTCAGGGCTGAACCTCAGGCAGTTCACAAAATTTTGGTGCTCCTGTCAAATAAATGGTAAAACTGTCAACACACCACCAACTGCGTGTCAACACACCACCAACTGCGTGTCAACAAACCAACTGTGTAGCTGCTCACTTAGACATAAAGGGTTGCTGTACCTTCATATAAGCACATTGGCACCCCCCCCCCCCTACTCACTGATTTAGTGCAGCTGAACTTAAATGGTGGGCACATTGGCACCCCCCCTACTCACTGATTTAGTGCAGCTGAACTTAAATGGTGGGCCCTCATAGAAGATGACAGAGAAGTCCTCGCTCCCAGTGGCTATCCTCATGGGGCGGCCTTGTCTGACCCCCACTGTGTTGATGGCTTTACTGTGGCCGGTTATCTCGCCAGCTGAGTTGCCGGAGTCAAAGGTGAAGACACGACCAAACCTGGGGACACAAGGTCAGGGGGGTCAGGGGTCAAACCTCATGGTACAAGGTCAAGCCTGGGGCAGGGATTTGACTTGGCTTGTTAGCTGTTAGTCTAGCTAGCCTAAACTGTTAGTCTAGCCCTAGTCTAGCCCTAAACTGTTAGTCTAGCCCTAAACTGTTAGTCTAGCCCTAAACTGTTAGTCTAGCTAGCCTAAACTGTTAGTCTAGCCCTAAACTGTTAGTCTAGCCTTAAAGGTTAGCATTGGCAGATATTTCAAAACGTTTAGGCCTAATGGAAAGTGAATTAAAAATACAGGTAGATAAATTTTAGGTAGACCACCACCTTTTATTTTACAGGTGGAGTCCATTTTATTGCTATGTTTGGGTGTCTTCTTCTGTTCATGCGAAGGACATAGCCCAGCCATCTCCATCTCCTCATTTGTACTTCTGAGACAATGTCGTTTAATCCTGTCCTTCGTCGTATTTCCTTGTTAAGGATTTTGTCGTCCCACTTTATCCTGAGGATGCGTTGAAGGGATCTTCTTTCAAAGCCTCTGAGTCGGCTCTCTCTTTTCTTGTTTAGTTTCCATGACTCTGCAGCATAGAGGAGTACAGAACGTACATTAAACTTGTAAATCCTTAGTTTGGTTCTCTGCTGCAGTGAGGATGATTTCCAGATCTTAGCAAGTCTGTTGAAAGTAATAATAGCCTGTGCTGCCATTGTTATTCTGGTGGCTATTTCCTTCTCGATGCTGCCATTTGCTGAGATGTAGCTGCCGAGGTACTTCAAGTCTTCGACCTCTTCTAGCTTTGCTCCATTCGCAAAGGTCTTGAGAGCACTTTTGGTTTTTATTTTCATTAGCTTGGTTTTCCCAGAGTTTATCTTTAGCCCACAGCTTTTAGCAATTTGCTCTATTTTTGTGGTTTTCTCTTGGATGTCCTTTTGGCATGTGAGAGTCGAGCCAAGTCAATCCACAACGTCACAGTCCTCCAGGTGGTTGGTAATTCCCAAACAATTAAAACCCAGACAAACTTAAGGAAAAATAGCGGGTAAAACAGGTCAAGATTTCTATGGGCAATCATTCTTTCATTAATAACAATTTTAAATGCTGGTAACACATTCACATAACAAAAAAGACTGAGGTATAACAATATCCCCCCCCTCCCCCCCCCCCCATGACGTAGTAACTGAGCAATCAAGTTTCTTTGGCAGTCCAACAAAAATGTCATAGGACTGCGCATAGCGCTGGGGAAAAAATGGAGTAAATTTACTAAAAAAAAGTATCGCCTGTCTGTTAGTCAGAAGATATGGACTTTGTGGAATTTTTAATTTCTAAAACTTGATTCCAGACTTTAAAAAAATCCAGCCCAAAAACTAGAGATTTTCCCCAGACTTTAAAAAGTCTGAAATTCACTTTTCTAAATTCTAGACTTTTTCCAGAATACGTACGAACCCTGTGTCACATCCAGTCTGGTGGTACAAGGTCGAAGGTCAAATATGGGGTACAAGGTCAGAGGTCAAATATGGGGTACAAGGTCGAAGGTCAAATATGGGGTACAAGGTCGGAGGTCAAATATGGGGTACAAGGTCGGAGGTCAAATATGGGGTACAAGGTCGGAGGTCAAATATGGGGTACAAGGTCGGAGGTCAAATATGGGGTACAAGGTCGAAGGTCAAATATGGGGTACAAGGTCGGAGGTCAAATATGGGGTACAAGGTCGGAGGTCAAATATGGGGTACAAGGTCTGAGGTCAAATATGGGGTACAAGGTCGAAGGTCAAATATGGGGTACAAGGTCGGAGGTCAAATATGGGGTACAAGGTCGGAGGTCAAATATGGGGTACAAGGTCGGAGGTCAAATATGGGGTACAGTTAAAAACTGATTGGTCAAGTCCAACTTACACTTCTCTGCCCTCTCCAACAACACACAACTTCTGGCTGTCCATTGTCCAGTCTAAATCTTTGATGGCGCCAGACAGGCCCATGTGTTCAATCTTCAAGACATGTTCCTTGTTGACTGTGTCCCAAACTCTCACTCTGCCTTCTTTATCTGGAAATATCAACAGTCAATATAAACAGTCTATAGCTGGCACAGTCAATATAAACAGTCTATAGCTGGCAGAGACTTATGTTAAACAGTCTATAGCTGGCAGAGTCTTATGTTAAACAGTCTATAGCTGGCAGAGTCTTATGTTAAACAGTCTATAGCTGGCAGAGACTTATGTTAAACAGTCTATAGCTGGCAGAGTCTTATGTTAAACAGTCTATAGCTGGCAGAGTCTTATGTTAAACAGTCTATAGCTGGCAGAGCCTTATGTTAAACAGTCTATAGCTGGCAGAGCCTTATGTTAAACAGTCTATAGCTGGTAGAACCTTATGTTAAACAGTCTATAGCTGGCAGAGCCTTATGTTAAACAGTCTATAGCTGGCAGAGTCTTAAGTTAAACAGTCTATAGCTGGCAGAGTCTTATGTTAAACAGTCTATAGCTGGCAGAGTCTTATGTTAAATGCAAAGAGATCAAATCTGAACTAAAAATGTTACCAGCAGAAGCGATGTAGAACCTTGAAGGTGAGTACTTGGCCACTGTTGTCTCTTTAGAATGTTCTGAGTAAACTTCACACACAGACGTGTTCTAGAACATCAATAGAAAACAAGTGACATCAATAGAACACAAGTAACTGTTCATACCAAACATCAATAGAACACAAGTGACATCAATAGAACACAAGTGACATCAATAGAACACAAGTGACATCAATAGAAAACAAGTGGCTATTCATACCAACTTGTCAGAAAGAAAATCATTTCATCAACTTTAATTTGTTTATAGAATTTGCACCTTGTACTGGTAGTAGGGAATTTTAAAAAAAATCTAAAGTTTGTATTTAATGAACACAATTTTAATCTAAATTTGGTATCAGTTGAACAAAATTTGTAGAAGAATCAATTTCTTTAAATAAAAAAAGTTCTTTTTCTTCTTCTTCTTCTTCGTTCTTAATTATTAGTGTTGAAGGTGATCGAGATTTATCTGAAAGTGAGTTTTGAACTCGAGACTTTGTTCGAATTTATCAACCATGAGCTTTTTGCCAACTCGACCACGCCTCCAACACAATTAAGCGTTACGTGTCAACTGGTTATGCGCCATTGAGGCCATTGACTCCGATTTCAGCCTGCTTTTCTTTTTGGATTTGCTTCCATAGCCTTTGTCCAACCAAGAACAAACTACAAGGCAGCAGTTGTTTAATTTTGGAGTTGTCTCTCCTAGAAGAGTGGCTGTCCCCAGCTTACGAGCCTCATCTGCCCGAGGGTTCGAACTCGAGACTTTTCGGTTTTGCAACCATGAGCTTAACCGACTCGACCACGCCGACCCCTCAAAGTTCTTTTGATTTTGTTTATGCTGGATGTTGCGTATGAATACATTACTGCTGGATGTTGCGTATGAATACATTACTGCCATAGTATGGTTACCTTGATGTTGCGTACGAATACATTACTGCCATAGTATGGTTACCTTGATGTTGCGTATGAATACATTACCGCCATAGTATGGTTACCTTGATGTTGCGTATGAATACATTACTGCCATAGTATGGTTACCTGGATGTTGCGTATGAATACATTACTGCCATAGTATGGTTACCTGGATGTTGCGTATGAATACATTACTGCCATAGTATGGTTATCTTGATGTTGCGTATGAATACATTACTGCCATAGTAAGGTTACCTTGATGTTGCGTATGAATACATTACTGCCATAGTATGGTTACCTCGATGTTGCGTATGAATACATTACTGCCATAGTATGGTTACCTCGATGTTGCGTATGAATACATTACTGCCATAGTATGGTTACCTTGATGTTGCGTATGAATACATTACTGCCATAGTATGGTTACCTGGATGTTGCGTATGAATACATTACTGCCATAGTATGGTTACCAGGATGTTGCGTATGAATACATTACTGCCATAGTATGGTTACCTGGATGTTGCGTATGAATACATTACTGCCATAGTATGGTTACCTGGATGTTGCGTATGAATACATTACTGCCATAGTATGGTTACCTTGATGTTGCGTATGAATACATTACTGCCATTGCAATAAAGAAAATTCTCCCCCTTGGGATCCCCATTGATGACAATAGCTTGACCTCTGGCTGTACGTGGCAATGAAGCGTACGTGCTCCCTGTAGAGTGGGAGAATCAGATAACATGCAAGGTAGATGGAATCTTGAGGGGGGACAGGTAGATGGAATCTTGAGGGGGGACAGGTAGATAAAATCTTGAGGGGACAGGTAGCATTGCTTATTTAGAATACAAAAGTGTGACGTCGCACCATCTGAACCCCTCTCCCCCTCATCACACAACGTCAGAAAATTACGGACCCCCTCCCCCCTGTGAGTGTCTCGTCATTTATGGACGACCCCCAAACCCCCAAATAGAAGTCACGTGGTTTTTTAAAATAAAAAAAAATTGGTAGTGATATGAACGCCGGTCTTATAAAAAACAGCTCATTATGTTTGATTTCTTTTTTCATAAACTGATAAAACTAATGATGCTTTACGTTCTTGATCATTTTTGTACCTACACCGTTGATATTTTAAAAGTTCTATTAATTTTAATGAAACCAACTTTTGAATTTAGCCACCCATTCTCCAAACCAAATTTTAAAATGCTTTCCTGGCATATATATATAACCTTGTTACATGATTTTTTTATAACGCAAAAAAAACCGCAATTTTGGTCGTGGTAAACATTTTAAACAGTAATTTTAAGAACATCACTGGAACTAAGACGAAAAATCGTCTGAAGTCATGCATCCGACCGGCGTGTACGCCATATTGTTGTTACTGTTAGTATAAGACCACGCCTACGGGTTAGCAAGTAATACTATTACTTATTACGACCCAGATCCGAATAGCCTTTTCCATTACTTATTTATTTTGTTAATTAATCAACTCTAGTACTAGTAGTAGGCCTAAATAATTAAATAATAGGACTACTATACTATACACAATGGATATGGATAATAATATCCATTTATAAGATTGAACTTATTCTAGTTATAGATCTTTAATTCATTTAGGGCTAGTGCCCTGTGTAGTTTTTTATATTTTATTTTAAACACTAAACTATTTCTAAACTGCCTAAAATCTAAAAACTTACTTAGGACCTAGATCTAGATATCTATCTATTAAATTACTTACTTAATGTAAATGTGAATGTAGTCATCTCAGTTTATAAATATATTCTAGCACTAGATTTCACTAGGTCTAATTAAAATATTATTTTACACCTTGTAGTGATTAGTATAACGCTATTATGTATTAGAGTAACACACTTGATTTAGTGTGTCTAGAATCTATTATTTAAATAGTAGTTAATTTACACAGAACTATCACTGTGCTTGAGCGGAGTTTACTTCCGCACTCATAGTTGTCTATAGACCGGGTAGGAAGTACACAGGAGGTGTATTCGCGCATGCGTCGTACAGAAGTTCCTTATATGGTGAAATGTAGATTATTTTCAGTACCCTAAAAAGATAATAAATTGCTCCGAATATGAATAAGTCACATGTTATAGCTCAGGCAGCTATGTGTCATATCATAAGAGAACGTGTTTGACTTTTGAGTAGCTACAACAATTTCGTTTTTTTTTTTTTGGTCGCTAGTAGCGAAACTTGCCGTGAATGCTGCCCTTGGATTATGAAAAGAACTACACGAGAGAGAGGCTAAAAATAGAGATTAGGAAGTAAATAAACACGGCGCGTTGACTAATTGCACTTGTATTACCAATATTAATTTGTTAACGAAGTTGAAGAATGTGTAGATCTTTAGGAGAGAAAAAAAGGAACACCTAGTGATATCCGTTGATATTATATAAGTGACTTATGGCATAGAATGGTGATATCCGATGATATTATATAAGTGACTTAAGGCATAGAATGGTGATATCCAATGATATTATATAAGTGACTTATGGCATAGAATGCCCGACGCAAGTCTACACCTTCTGGCGCTCCGGGCGGATGACAGATTTTTACGCCCTATATAATAATGCCGTTATATAGCCTATATCTATCTATCTATCTATCTATCTATCTATCTATCTATCTATCTATCTATCTATCTATCTATCTATCTATCTATCTATCTATCTATCTATCTATCTGTCTGTCTGTCTGTCTGTCTGTCTGTCTGTCTGTCTGTCTGTCTGTCTGTCTGTCTGTCTGTCTGTCTGTCTGTCTGTCTGTCTGTCTGTCTGTCTGTCTGTCTGTCTGTCTGTCTGTCTGTCTGTCTGTCTGTCTGTCTGTCTGTCTGTCTGTCTGTCTGTCTGTCTGTCTGTCTGTCTGTCTGTCTGTCTGTCTGTCTGTCTGTCTGTCTGTCTGTCTGTCTGTCTGTCTGTCTGTCTGTCTGTCTGTCTGTCTGTCTGTCTGTCTGTCTGTCTGTCTGTCTGTCTGTCTGTCTGTCTGTCTGTCTGTCTGTCTGTCTGTCTGTCTGTCCGTCCGTCCGTCTGTCCGTCTGTCTGTCCGTCCGTCCGTCCGTCCGTCCGCCCGCCTGTCCGTCCGTCCGTCCGTCCTTCCGTCTGTCCGTCCGTCCGTCCGTCCGTCTGCCCGTCCGTCCGTCTGCCCGCCTGTCCGCCTGTCCGTCCGTCCGTCTGTCTGTCTGTCTGTCTGTTATTCTAGTTAAATTAAATGAGATTGCTTTGTTTGCTGCACAAAAAACAAAAACATTGGCGAGAATATTTTACAAATCAGCAATAAAAACAGGGGAATAGTTGATCAGCTGGGACCTTGACCTTGTTGATCAGCTGGGACCTTGACCTTGTTGATCAGCTGGGACCTTTCATGTAAATGAGTGTGAAAGTAGCGATGCACCTCACAATACCATACAGCACCATAGAGCACCATAGAGAACCATATAGCACACATCACCAGGATAAGACACAGATGACTAGATCTAAAGCTGCCAACTGACTAGAATGTCCGTCTCGGCGTCGCCCTCACGACTTAGCCCAAATGACGTCGGTTCCAAGGTCATAAGCCCAGTACCAAGTTCATCCGCGCTAGAACCTTCAGCGGATTTAAAGCCTTTAGCGGATTCCAAGCTGTCAGTGGATCTTAAGCCTTCAGCGGATCTCAAGTCTTCAGGGGATCTTGATCCATCATTATCAGGTGCACTTACAGGTACAATTACAGGTACAATTACAGGTACAATTACAGGTACAATTACAGGTACAATTACAGGTACAATTACAGGTGCACGTACAGGTACAATTACAGGTACAAGTACAGGTACAATTACAGGTGCACGTACAGGTACAATTACAGGTACAAGTACATGTACAATTACAGATGCACGTACAGGTACAATTACAGGTACAAGTACAGGTACAATTACAGGTGCACGTACAGGTACAATTACAGGTACAATTACAGGTACAATTACAGGTACAATTACAGGTGCACGTACAGGTACAATTACAGGTACAATTACAGGTACAATTACAGGTGCACGTACAGGTACAATTACAGGTGCACGTACAGGTACAATTACAGGTACAATTACAGGTACAAGTACAGGTAAATGACAGGTACAATTACAGGTGCACGTACAGGTACAATTACAGGTGCACTTACAGGTACAATTACAGGTACAAGTACAGGTAAATTACAGGTACAATTACAGGTACACGTACATGTACAATTACAGGTCAGTAGACCAACAGCCCAGTGGCGGAACTAGAAAAAAAGGGCCACCCCGCAAAAAATTTATTAGCCCGCCCCCCTTATATATATATATATATATATATATATATATATATATATATATATATATATATATATATATATATATATATATATATATATATATATATATATATATATATATATATATATATATCAGTAGCGTACGCAGGGGGGAGCAGGGGGAGCTGCCGCTCCCCCTCTGGCCATTTTCAGCAAAGTGGCGCCTTTTTGGAAACTTTTTAAACTCAAAGTTTTAAACAATGATATTTGTTAAAAAAATATTTTTGGTCGGCACATCTATGTAAATCACAAGATTTCTTTTCATGCGGCAATTAAGCATTATTGTACTAGTCTAGTAGTGTCTACGTTTACAACACGTCAGAGGCGTAGCGACCCTTCCCGGCGCCCGGGGACTAAATTTCGATTTGCACCCCCCACCCCTCAGACTTTCGATTTGCACCCCCCCCCCCCCCCCCTCAAACTTTAGAAAAAGGGCCCCTATTTGCCTTGGGCCCCTATGCCTTGCTTACGCTAGCTTTACGGCTTTACGGTAGCTACGCCACTGAGTTTAAGGCAACTTTTAATGTATTTGCTTACGAATAATTGAATTAGAAAATGTTATACATAAAACTTCACACATAATTACTTTATATATACTTTATATACAGTTTGAATCGTGTGATTAATTTTTAAAAGATTACAATACAGAAACAAATACAACTGATGTGGCACCTCTATTTAAATTTACTTATGAGCAAACTGCGTAGTGGTGGGGAAATTTTGACAAGGTCAACAACGTCATCACGATAAAGTAATAGTATTCTTACAGTTTGGGCGATAGTGATTACGATTACAAATTATATGAAACACTTACAACCCCCCTCCCCGATGGACCCCTCTGTAAAAAAAATATTGTCATAATAACACTGCTACTTATTTAAATCTATTTCTGTAATATATATTTGTGTAATACCTCACCATCACAATTGTGTAGAGCGACATTAATGTCACACCTAGGTATACACTGGGTTGGATAATTGACCTAAAGTGACCGGACAGTGGTGAATGAAGTTGACCCCCCCCCCCAACCCACCTCGAACTGATCTGTTAAGTACATGCAGAAAAATGCGTAATGATGTACCCAAGTACCATGCCGCCAGAAAATTAGCTTTTTAAATGTAAAACTCTGTGAATATTGCTTTTGCAATTACCAGTAAAAAGGTGTGTGATCAATACAGTGATCTAACCCATAACTATCACTTTGTTAAAAAAGTGATCTTTAAAGAACACAAAGAAGCAGTAGTTAATTAAAAAATATATGATCTGAACTAAAAGACTGAACTTTAGTTAAATGTAGGCTGTTATTCCGAATGTTTTTCTATTCTATCGAAAAGCGTGGTTTTATACCAACTCTGATTTAAAAAACTTTCATTATGCTGTAATACTTTAGCATTTATGATGACGATATACTAAATTCTGATTATAGGCAAAAACTTTTTGTAAACACGAATAGTGTTAAACAATTTCATTATATTTTAAAGTAATTATTTGTTTGTTTTGACATTTATAATTAAATGTGTAGATATATACATATTTATATTAAGAGAGTGATTATTTCCCCTATTTCACCTGTCTTAAATAATTTCCCAGGAGTTATTATGTAAGAAATTTTTTTTACAAGAATTACAAAACAGATTGTGTTTACGTTCATTGTTTTTGGTTGTAGTGTGTGTATATTTTTTAGCGCAATTTCCATACTGGACAATTGCGATTATTAACTCGTCATTTCTGGATGGATGGATGGATGAATGAAGGAATGTATGGATGTGTGTCCGCAGCTTTAAGTCGTATCTCCTCCTCAACGAAGCAATATCGAGGACTAGTTCCAAAAGCAAATATGTTAAGCAAGTTCCTAGGATGATTGTGGGCCAAAATAATTCCCGGAATTCCTTCCTGGATTTCCCGGAAAAGCCAAAATACCTCGAAAAAATGCAGTTTTTGGCCCATATCTCTGCAACCAGACCACTTAGCTACTTGAAACATTTACCAATCGATTCCTGCCATAATTTAGAACAATATTGCCGAAGAAAGTTTTCAAAAATATCCTTTCGTTCGGTCACAAAAAATTAATTAAGAATTTTTAAACTAAAAAATTAAAAATTGTTATGGATAACATAAGGAAATTGTGCTTAAATTGTCACTAGACTTTTTATTAACTTGTTTTTGTTTGGATTGATACACTTTTTGTTTTGTCGGTCTACACTGTGTGTTTTTTCTTATTTCTTCATAGTGCTACTTTCAATTTATTTTACATCATAGCGAAGTAATGACATACAGCTAGTAATTATATATATATATATATATATATATATATATATATATATATATATATATATATATATATACACGTATATAGAACGTGTTAAAAATAATTCGGCGCCTTTTTTTGCTCTTTTCGCTCCCCCTACAGCGAAAACCTGGATACGCCTCTGATATATATATATATATATATATATATATATATATATATATATATATATATATATTACGGTCAAAGCCCGAAGTCGGCCAAAGCGCGCATTATCCAATAACGCCTCCCATTGACCGACCAAAGTCCGAAACTTTACTTCATTTCGGCCCAATCCGCGGTCTGGCCATGGTGGACCGGCCAGTCCGAATTAGATCATCTGACTAGGGAAAAAGTCCGAATTAGAAGATCATGAGCAGATTTTTACTTTCTCGTATATACGAAGTATAGAGAAAGTCTTTTAATGGTGCAAAAAAAAAATCGAGATTTTTACAAATCTCGACGTTTTACACCTCACTGATACGGAAAAACACAATTTTGCAATCTTGTCCGTATGTCTGTGTGTCTGTGTGTCTGTCTGTCTCTCTGTGTGTGTGTGTGTCCGTTTGTAAACACGATTACCTGAGTACTGTTACAGCTAGGTTGATGAAATTTCATATATAAGTATTTTATCAAAATCGTAGATCCATATCAACTTTTGAGCTATTTCCGATAACCGGAAGGGGTACTTTTCCTACTTTGAATTTTGCAAAAGCCTATAACTTGAGTAGTATTTCAGATAGATAAATAAAATTTCACATGTAAGTAAAAGATATAATTCTCTACCTTCTGTTAAATTTTGAGTAATTTCCGTTGACCGGAAGTAGTAATTTACGCTACTTCCGATTTCTCAAAAAACTAATGTAAATTTTTAAAGTACTAATAATATTGCGCACTATTATGCACTTTTTTATTTGGCGTTCACTTGGTGTGTAATTCTTTTGTCTGCGAGATTTTATTCTATTTTTTAAATTTTAAAAATTTAAAATGGATTAAAAATCATGTCTATAGCCCGAGTTCCCATCCCATCGAGAAAGTTTAGGGGAGATCACTCCCGATTTATTTCTTTTATACCGTAAGGATCATAAAAATTAAGTCTTAAGTCCCACTTTTGCTTTGCATCCAAACAAGGCTTCGTATGGCGATTGTTGGATTCCTTGATGAAAATTACGGTTTTTCATAAATTGAATGAATTTAAGTCTCTCAGCCCAATGAGCTGATTCATTTGTCTGCATCCATGTCATCATCATGTTATGAAAATCGTTGTTTGCGCGTTCTACTGAACATTGGCTTTGGCTATGCCTCGATTTTCTGTGAACTAGTTTAAGTTCAGGCCACATGTTCTTAAGTTCAGAAATAACTTGATTCACAAATTCTTTTCCATTAGGATTTGGATTATTTATTTTGGCAGCCATCTGGTAGCCCCTATGTCTGTCTCTTGATCTGACGGTCCTTTTGGTCCATGTAGCATTGCATATAGAATGCTATACAAGCAAAAGCCAAACAATACGTTACTCACAATGAAACCGCACCCAGAATAATGAAAACGCGATCACAACTCAGTCTAGATAGAAAATTGGCCAGAACATCCCGGCCAATGGACGGCCAATGTACGAAACACGCTCTTAGTGCTCAGTTCTTCGGGCTTTGGCCAAGAGAGCCAGCCAATGTGGGCTTTGACCGTAACATATATATATATATATATATATATATATATATATATATATATATATATATATATATATATATATATATATATATATATACAAATTACAACATCATGTCATGTGTGTGAGTGCATTAGTGTTTTGAGAAAATCAGTTTAATATATCTCTGCTATCAGAACCTATAACTGTCTAGATGGTCAAAATAATATAAAATATGAAAGCTTTGTATAAGTAATGGTGTCTCGTGTTATGTTTATTTTTATGGTTTTTTTTTTATTTATATTAATAATTTTAAATACATTTCCTTTTTATGCAATGTCATTCTTTAGTAAGTACTTTATAAAAAAATTATTTAAGAGAAGTAATTACTTTTTTATTTTCTTTAGTACAAATCTAATAAAAAATAGCTTATGAGCACCCCTATTTGACTATTTAAAAAAGGGAAATAAGTCATGGAAGTGGTTTGAACGTTTGCTCTTCTTTGATAAGTTTGATTGTTGGAGAGAGAGGACTCGGCTTTCACGGTGGTTTAAAAACAAAGGGAAAAAGAATAAACAAAAGCGTGGGGTGGTGTCTATAGAATAAAGATAATCCAACCGCAGCTACGGTAATCTTTTTACAAAACAAGCATAAGTCAAAAATGCAAGAAAATAATTTTTTAAAAATTATAAATAAAATTATTATGGTCGGCTGCTGGACCCTAAATGGCGTGGGCCCCCGCCCCGCATTACGGGGTCTGGCGGCACTGTAGTTCCGCCCCTGCAACAGCCCTAGCACAGAGCACGTGACTACAATTTTGAAATTCCCCAGCAGCAAGAGACGGTAGCGAGTCCCACTTGGAGGAGGAAATTCGTTCGTTGAAGGAGGAGCTAAGCCAGATCAAGGTTCAAAGTCCGTGAGTTGTCTCTTGTTTGGCCGTATCGGCTCAGTTGTTGACTGGTATCTGACATTAGAGGAACTTGGCTAGAAGGACAACCGTCCAAATGACATTTGGCAAAAAGACATTTGGCCAAACGACATTTGGCCAAAAGACTGTGATGACCTCTAACTGTGTTGACCTCTAACTGTGATGACCTCTAACTGTGTTGACCTCTAACTGTGATGACCTCTAACTGAGATGACCTCTAACTGTGATGACTTCTAACTGTGATGACCTCTAACTGTGATGACCTCTAACTGTGATGACCTCTAACTGTGATGACCTCTAACTGTGATGACCTCTAACTGTGATGACCTCTAACTGTGATGACCTCTAACTGTGATGACCTCTAACTGTGATGACGTCAATTAGATCGCCGGTGCTAGAAGTACTGGACACGTCCAAGCTGCCGCCGTCCTACAAAGACAACAACAGCAAGGAGGTCAAGGCCATCCAGTACTGCAAGAACCTGATCCAGCAGTACAACCACTTGTGCAACACCAGACGGCCGCTCTTTATAAAGCCGCTCAACGAGTGTCAGGTCAAGGTCTGTCAACACAGAGGTCAAGTTGGGTCAAGGTCACACACCGCGTCACACACCGCGTCACACACCACGCCACACTCTTCGTCACACTCAAACAATTAGCGTCACATTCCACGTCACACATCACGTCACACACCGCGTCACACACCACGCCACACTCTTCGTCACACTCTACGTCACACTCAAACAATTAGCGTCACATTCCACGTCACGCTGCACGTCTCATTCCAAGTCACACACCACGTCACACACCACGTCACACTCTACGTCACATACCACGTCACACATCACGTCACACACCACGTCACATTCCACGTCACGCTCTACTTCACTGACAGCAAGGGCAAGTTTAAAATTGAGATTTCTATTTTTAAATCTTCTTACACACACACAACATACCCATATTTACCACACACACATATACACCTGCACACAAACGCACACGACGTACAACATGTTCACACACCATACAAACATTTACACAGACACGAACATACACATCCTTCTGACTATTCCCCTGGGTTTTGGTTCTAGCAATGGTCAGTTTGTGATGATTTCGGTCAATGGACAAAATAACTCGCTGTCTGAATGGAGAGAGGAAGATTAGAAACATTAATTAACATTAATCAACATTTAAAACGTTAATTAAATATCTTATTCAGGCAAATTTTATATCTCAATCCGTTGTCATCGAGTCTACCCCTATGTGAAAAGTTATGAAGAAATAAGTCCCGTAAAAGTAACATTTTTTTCAGAAATAAAAAAAAAAAGCGTAAAGTATTACTTCCGTCCGCCGATAGGAACTCAAAATTTTACAAAAGCAAGTGAATTAAATCTTATATCTAAATTTTCGCCCACAAACTGAAACGGTGCTCAAGTTATTTTAGAAACCAGAAATTGAATGAATTACCACTTTTGTCCGAGTCATTCAAAAATTGTAAGCAATCCAGGAATAAGATTTCATATTTATATATGAAATTTTGTTTCCCTTATTGAAAAAGTACTCAAGTTATAGTGTTCACAGACAGACGCATAGACAAACACTGAAACAGATAAACGTACAGACACAACTGTACAGACAGACAGACAGACAAGACTGACAGACAAATACTGAAACAGATAAACGTACAGACACAACTGTACAGACAGACAGACAGACAAGACTGACAGACAAATACTGAAACAGATAAACGTACAGACACAAATGTACAGACAGATCGACAAAGACACAGACACACACACACAGTCAAGTGCGCTAGCCTGACATGTATAACGCTTTAATGACCTATCGCCGAACCTTCCAGAAGCTGGTATGTACGACCATCGTCCCCACCCAGCTACCCTACCATGAGCTGCTGGACTGGCCGGAGATTGCCGAGTTTGTGGCTGGTTACCTCAACTACGACTTCCTCAAGCCCCCATATGAATTGGTAAGTCTATGCCAGCCTGCCTGTACTCACCATTTCCCATCTTGTCCACCAGCCAGTCTGTACTCACCATTTCCCATCTTGTCCACCAGCCAGCCTGTACTCACCATTTCCCATCTTGACCACCAGCCAGCCAGCCTGTACTCACCATTTCCCATCTTGTCCACCAGCCAGCCTGTACTCACCATTTCCCATCTTGTCCACCACCCAGCCAGCCTGTACTCACCATTTCCCATCTTGTCCACCAGCCAGCCAGCCTGTACTCACCATTTCCCATCTTGTCCACCAGCCAGCCAGCCTGTACTCACCATTTCCCATCTTGTCCACCAGCCAGCCAGCCTGTACTCACCATTTCCCATCTTGTCCACCAGCCAGCCAGCCTGTACTCACCATTTCCCATCTTGTCCACCAGCCAGCCAGCCTGTACTCACCATTTCCCATCTTGACCACCAGCCAGCCAGCCTGTACTCACCATTTCCCATCTTGTCCACCAGCCAGTCTGTACTCACCATTTCCCATCTTGTCCACCAGCCAGCCTGTACTCACCATTTCCCATCTTGACCACCAGCCAGCCAGCCTGTACTCACCATTTCCCATCTTGTCCACCAGCCAGCCTGTACTCACCATTTCCCATCTTGTCCACCACCCAGCCAGCCTGTACTCACCATTTCCCATCTTGTCCACCAGCCAGCCAGCCTGTACTCACCATTTCCCATCTTGTCCACCAGCCAGCCAGCCTGTACTCACCATTTCCCATCTTGTCCACCAGCCAGCCAGCCTGTACTCACCATTTCCCATCTTGTCCACCAGCCAGCCAGCCTGTACTCACCATTTCCCATCTTGTCCACCAGCCAGCCAGCCTGTACTCACCATTTCCCATCTTGACCACCAGCCAGCCAGCCTGTACTCACCATTTCCCATCTTGTCCACCAGCCAGCCTGTACTCACCATTTCCCATCTTGTCCACCAGCCGGCCACCCTGTACTCACCATTTCCCATCTTGACCACCAGCCAGCCAGCCTGTACTCACCATTTCCCATCTTGACCACCAGCCAGCCAGCCTGTACTCACCATTTCCCATCTTGTCCACCAGCCAGCCTGTACTCACCATTTCCCATCTTGTCCACCAGCCAGCCAGCCTGTACTCACCATTTCTCATCTTGTCCACCACCCAGCCAGCCTGTACTCACCATTTCCCATCTTGTCCACCAGCCAGCCAGCCTGTACTCACCATTTCCCATCTTGTCCACCAGCCAGCCAGCCTGTACTCACCATTTCTCATCTTGTCCACCAGCCAGCCTGTACTCACCATTTCCCATCTTGTCCACCAGCCGGCCTGTACTCACCATTTCCCATCTTGTCCACCAGCCAGCCTGTACTCACCATTTCCCATCTTGACCACCAGCCAGTCTGTACTCACCATTTCCCATCTTGTCCACCAGCCAGCCAGCCTGTACTCACCATTTCCCATCTTGTCCACCAGCCAGCCTGTACTCACCATTTCCCATCTTGACCACCAGCCAGCCTGTACTCACCATTTCCCATCTTGTCCACCAGCCGGCCTGTACTCACCATTTCCCATCTTGACCACCAGCCAGCCTGTACTCACCATATCCCATCTTGTCCACCAGCCGGCCTGTACTCACCATTGCCCATCTTGTCCACCAGCCAGCCAGCCTGTACTCACCATTTCTCATCTTGTCCACCAGCCAGCCTGTACTCACCATTTCCCATCTTGTCCACCAGCCGGCCTGTACTCACCATTTCCCATCTTGTCCACCAGCCAGCCTGTACTCACCATTTCCCATCTTGTCCACCAGCCACCCTGTACTCACCATTTCCCATCTTGTCCACCAGCCGGCCACCCTGTACTCACCATTTCCCATCTTGTCCACCAGCCAGCCAGCCTGTACTCACCATTTCCCATCTTGTCCACCAGCCAGCCAGCCTGTACTCACCATTTCCCATCTTGTCCACCAGCCAGCCTGTACTCACCATTTCCCATCTTGTCCACCAGCCAGTCTGTACTCACCATTTCCCATCTTGTCCACCAGCCAGCCTGTACTCACCATTTCCCATCTTGTCCACCAGCCAGCCTGTACTCACCATTTCCCATCTTGTCCACCAACCAGCCAGCCTGTACTCACCATTTCCCATCTTGTCCACCAGCCAGCCAGCCTGTACTCACCATTTCCCATCTTGTCCACCAGCCAGTCTGTACTCACCATTTCCCATCTTGTCCACCAGCCAGCCTGTACTCACCATTTCCCATCTTGACCACCAGCCAGCCAGCCTGTACTCACCATTTCCCATCTTGTCCACCAGCCAGCCTGTACTCACCATTTCCCATCTTGTCCACCACCCAGCCAGCCTGTACTCACCATTTCCCATCTTGTCCACCAGCCAGCCAGCCTGTACTCACCATTTCCCATCTTGTCCACCAGCCAGCCAGCCTGTACTCACCATTTCCCATCTTGTCCACCAGCCAGCCTGTACTCACCATTTCCCATCTTGACCACCAGCCAGCCTGTACTCACCATTTCCCATCTTGTCCACCAGCCAGCCAGTCTGTACTCACCATTTCCTATCTTGTCCACCAGCCAGCCTGTACTCACCATTTCCCATCTTGTCCACCAGCCAGCCAGCCTGTACTCACCATTTCCCATCTTGTCCACTAGCCAGCCTGTACTCACCATTTCCCATCTTGTCCACCAGCCAGCCTGTACTCACCATTTCTCATCTTGTCCACCAACCAGCCTGTACTCACCATTTCCCATCTTGTCCACCAACCAGCCTGTACTCACCATTTCTCATCTTGTCCACCAACCAGCCTGTACTCACCATTTCCCATCTTGTCCACTAGCCAGCCTGTACTCACCATTTCCCATCTTGTCCACCAGCCAGCCTGTACTCACCATTTCCCATCCTGTCCACCAGCCAGCCTGTACTCACCATTTCCCATCTTGTCCACCAGCCAGCCAGCCTGTACTCACCATTTCCCATCTTGTCCACCAGCCAGCCAGCCTGTACTCACCATTTCCCATCTTGTCCACCAGCCAGCCAGCCTGTACTCACCATTTCCCATCTTGTCCACCAGCCAGCCAGACTGTACTCACCATTTCCCATCTTGTCCACCAGCCAGCCTGTACTCACCATTTCCCATCTTGACCACCAGCCAGCCTGTACTCACCATTTCCCATCTTGTCCACCAGCCAGCCAGCCTGTACTCACCATTTCCCATCTTGTCCACCAGCCAGCCAGCCTGTACTCACCATTTCCTATCTTGTCCACCAGCCAGCCTGTACTCACCATTTCCCATCTTGTCCACCAGCCAGCCAGCCTGTACTCACCATTTCCCATCTTGTCCACCAGCAAGCCAGCCTGTACTACCCATTTCCCATCTTGTCCACCAGCCAGCCAGCCTGTACTCACCATTTCCCATCTTGACCACCAGCCAGCCAGCCTGTACTCACCATTTCCCATCTTGTCCACCAGCCAGCCTGTACTCACCATTTCCCATCTTGTCCACCAGCCGGCCACCCTGTACTCACCATTTCCCATCTTGACCACCAGCCAGCCAGCCTGTACTCACCATTTCCCATCTTGACCACCAGCCAGCCAGCCTGTACTCACCATTTCCCATCTTGTCCACCAGCCAGCCTGTACTCACCATTTCCCATCTTGTCCACCAGCCAGCCAGCCTGTACTCACCATTTCTCATCTTGTCCACCACCCAGCCAGCCTGTACTCACCATTTCCCATCTTGTCCACCAGCCAGCCAGCCTGTACTCACCATTTCCCATCTTGTCCACCAGCCAGCCAGCCTGTACTCACCATTTCTCATCTTGTCCACCAGCCAGCCTGTACTCACCATTTCCCATCTTGTCCACCAGCCGGCCTGTACTCACCATTTCCCATCTTGTCCACCAGCCAGTCTGTACTCACCATTTCCCATCTTGACCACCAGCAAGTCTGTACTCACCATTTCCCATCTTGTCCACCAGCCAGCCAGCCTGTACTCACCATTTCCCATCTTGTCCACCAGCCAGCCTGTACTCACCATTTCCCATCTTGACCACCAGCCAGCCTGTACTCACCATTTCCCATCTTGTCCACCAGCCGGCCTGTACTCACCATTTCCCATCTTGACCACCAGCCAGCCTGTACTCACCATATCCCATCTTGTCCACCAGCCGGCCTGTACTCACCATTGCCCATCTTGTCCACCAGCCAGCCAGCCTGTACTCACCATTTCTCATCTTGTCCACCAGCCAGCCTGTACTCACCATTTCCCATCTTGTCCACCAGCCGGCCTGTACTCACCATTTCCCATCTTGTCCACCAGCCAGCCTGTACTCACCATTTCCCATCTTGTCCACCAGCCACCCTGTACTCACCATTTCCCATCTTGTCCACCAGCCGGCCACCCTGTACTCACCATTTCCCATCTTGTCCACCAGCCAGCCAGCATGTACTCACCATTTCCCATCTTGTCCACCAGCCAGCCAGCCTGTACTCACCATTTCCCATCTTGTCCACCAGCCAGCCTGTACTCACCATTTCCCATCTTGTCCACCAGCCAGCCTGTACTCACCATTTCCCATCTTGTCCACCAGCCAGCCTGTACTCACCATTTCCCATCTTGTCCACCAGCCAGCCTGTACTCACCATTTCCCATCTTGTCCACCAGCCAGCCAGCCTGTACTCACCATTTCCCATCTTGTCCACCAGCCAGCCAGCCTGTACTCACCATTTCCCATCTTGTCCACCAGCCAGTCTGTACTCACCATTTCCCATCTTGTCCACCAGCCAGCCTGTACTCACCATTTCCCATCTTGACCACCAGCCAGCCAGCCTGTACTCACCATTTCCCATCTTGTCCACCAGCCAGCCTGTACTCACCATTTCCCATCTTGTCCACCACCCAGCCAGCCTGTACTCACCATTTCCCATCTTGTCCACCAGCCAGCCAGCCTGTACTCACCATTTCCCATCTTGTCCACCAGCCAGCCAGCCTGTACTCACCATTTCCCATCTTGTCCACCAGCCAGCCTGTACTCACCATTTCCCATCTTGACCACCAGCCAGCCTGTACTCACCATTTCCCATCTTGTCCACCAGCCAGCCAGCCTGTACTCACCATTTCCCATCTTGTCCACCAGCCAGCCAGCCTGTACTCACCATTTCCTATCTTGTCCACCAGCCAGCCTGTGTTCACCATTTCCCATCTTGTCCACCAACCAGCCAGCCTGTACTCACCATTTCCCATCTTGTCCACTAGCCAGCCTGTACTCACCATTTCCCATCTTGTCCACCAGCCAGCCTGTACTCACCATTTCTCATCTTGTCCACCAACCAGCCTGTACTAACCATTTCCCATCTTGTCCACCAACCAGCCTGTACTCACCATTTCTCATCTTGTCCACCAACCAGCCTGTACTCACCATTTCCCATCTTGTCCACCAGCCGGCCACCCTGTACTCCCCCCAGACTGTAATAGAGAGACTGCACGGCCACTGTTTCGAGTACAGCAACGTGCTGTGTTCTATGCTGATCGGCGCCGGCTATGACGCCTACGTTGTCAGCGGCTACGCCACGCGTGAAGTCTGTCTGGCTGACTTGTCCTACAACAAATGTCCTTTCGTCGAAGAGGACCAGGTGGTAGGTCCCAGCTGTCTGATGTAGGACCAAGTGGTAGGTCCCAGCTGTTATATGTAGGACCAAGTGGTAGGTCCCAGCTGTTATATGTAGGACCAAGTGGTAGGTCCCAGCTGTTATATGTAGGACCAAGTGGTAGGTCCCAGCTGTTATATGTAGGGCCAAGTGGTAGGTCCCAGCTGTTATATGTAGAGCCAAGTGGTAGGTCCCAGCTGTTATATGTAGGACCAAGTGGTAGGTCCCAGCTGTTATATGTAGGGCCAAGTGGTAGGTCCCAGCTGTTATATGTAGGACCAGGTGGTAGGTCCCAGCTGTTATATGTAGAGCTTGGTGTTTATGTATCAAATGTCAGCTCGTGTGACCCTGTTCCTGCATGTATTGACAGAGACAAGCAATTCGTATTCTACGGGTACATTCTACAATCTCTATAAACAATGAACCTACATCACTAGACTGATCTAAACCATACGCCTTCCCGTAAACAAGATGGATAGGCTGAATTAAGTCTAAATAATTATCATTAAAAAAGTTAAAAAAAACCCACGTTTTCTGATTGAACTAAAAAGTAGAAAATAAAGTTCTATACATCACAATAATGCAAGCGATCACTCTACTATAAGCGATGAAAAACGTGGGGCGCCGAAGTAAAAGGTATATTACTATTGATTAGATAATACTATTGACTTTTATTAGGGAGCTTGTAGAGAGTCAACAGTATTAGAAACTGTAAGAAAATCACGGCGCCCCACGTTTTTCATCGCTTATAAAGAGTGATCGTTTGCATTATTTTGACGTATAGCATTTATTTTCTACTTTTTAGTTAAATCAGAAAACGTGGGTTTTTTAAAACTTTTTTAATGATAATTATTTTTTCTACTTTTTAGTCTTTGTCTGTTTGTTTGCATTAAAATCTTGCTATCGATTTTATCTTTTCGCTTTCACTTTTTTTTTGTGGGTAAACGAAGACAACTCGTAAAAAACACGTGCCTTGAACCCGTGTCGAGTGGGTTAGCAATCGTGTGCCCAACCACTTGACCATATCGTCTCCCCCATACTGGCCACCAGTTGTTCCGGTTGTTTGTACACAAACACCACGTGAACACTACTCAGTAAGCCAAAAGAGGGAGAGTACCGAACCTTGTTTTCATCAAATTACAATTACTGGGTTATGTCCCCTTTTCCCCCACGTTTTTTTGTAGAAATATATAGCGGTCTAAAATGATCAATAAAATGTTTCCATGAATCAATTTAGTAATAATAACAATTGAATATTGTATTGTCATCGGAAACAAAGCTTCCCTGAAAATTTCAGCGCGCTAGCTAACTGGGAAGTGCCCGAAATTTCGATCGCAAGATTTGATTGGAAAAACAGACGCGAAAGCAAGTTAAAGAAAACGTGGGAAAAAGCAAGCACACGCTTCACGTATGAATTAAAATCGCTGTGTAGGTGGTTGAAGGTATATATCCAGCAGGAAGAACACAAACAGGCGAGGTACAGTCAACATCCTAGCGGGTCCACATTGTGACGGCGCCGCGCTCGTGTTTCGCGCTGAGTGATTCATGAAGTCGACTCAAAATATTTGCTTTAAAACACCGTCAGTAGCTCGCAATATCTAAAAATATTTGCTTTAAAACACCGTCAGTAGCTCGCGATATCTAAAATTATTTGCTTTAAAACACCATCAGTAGCTCGCGATATCTAAACATATTTGCTTTAAAACACCATCAGTAGCTCGCGATATCTAAAAATATTTGCTTTAAAACACCGTCAGTAGCTCGCGATATCTGAAAAACGAACCGGCCATCCGTGACCATATTTTATAGACGACAGCAAGTGCTAAATTTTTTTAAACCTCCCATTAGCACTTTCTACTAACTACCTTCTAAATCCAAACCGGCTTTTTAAAAAATGATGTTAACAATCTTTTTTAAAAGGATAACGCATCTTAAGGGGAATTTCATTGGCGTCGAGTAAAAGTTTTAGGGAACAAAAATCATAAACCGTAATTATTAAATCTTTTGCTATCTAGCGCGCACGCACGCACACACACACACACACACACACACACACACACACACACGCACAGACACACACACACAGACACACACATTGCATTTTTTGTAAAAAAAAATAGGTGCAGGTTCTCAGTGATTGATTGCCTAACTTTTAACTACCAGTTCGCACCTCGATGCAAGTTTAATCACTACTGCAAATTAACAATTAATAAATTAATGATAAACGTTAATATACAAGAGAAGTCATAATTTTTTCCCACCTCAGAAAAAGGTGCCGGTTCGCTGAACCGGTGCGTACCGGCACAAAACAGGACTAGGGCGGAGGGGTCGCTATACCTCTGCACTTTTCTGTTTAAAAAAATATATCGAATTAGTTTTAAAATTAATTTAATTCATCTCTGAAAAAGGCGTAACGATTTTCAAACGTGGCCGTATGAGAAAATAAACCGGGAGTGATCTCCCCTAAACTTTATCGTATCTATTATATAAAGTTCAATTCTGTATGTTTGTTTGTAACCAAGGATTACAAAGGCATATAAGAAAAAAATAATACTTGTATGGCGTCAAGGGTTAAATGTCTAAATTGCTCATCGTCTAAATTCATTTTTTCAAAAATTAATACTGAAGGTGTTGTAAAACAATTTTCCTTTTTCAAACTTAGAGTAATAATTGTCGGCATGTTCATTGAACAAAACTAAAAAAAAAATATCATCTTTTACAAAAATTCTAATTATGTCTGACAATTATTTACATTTAGTCCTTTAGCACTAATTAAGTCCCTTGATAAATTAAGAAAACACAATTACTTCCCTTTCTAAAAAAAACATCACATTGGGGGGGGGGGGGAGAATTTACTTTTTATTACTTTGTTTTGGAGTTGAGAATAAAATAATTACATAATTAACGGGGCCTGATCAAGTGCAATGTTGTAGGCATTTATTTTTAACACTGGCTTTTATTTATTCTATACACCGAACGTACTGTTTACTAATTATTTTAAAAAAATCAATGACAGTTAATAAGCCAACTTCTAAAAGTCCCATATCCTGTGAGAACTTCGGTGCATAATTTCGCTTTAAACATTGCGATAGACTATGGATAAGAAAGGTTACTAGTCTTTAAGTGAATCAAACCCAGGCGTCATCCGGCACCCCGACAGGGTGCTATTTGGCGCACTGGGCCTTCCCGTGTTTGCTGTGGCGCCTACGTTCGATTAAGTGAGTGCAATAGCACATGAATACGTTGGGGTACTATAGTCGTTTACTAAGCTGAGACAGGCGGTTCCGCCGGCGCCCCAGCTTGGTGCGATTTGGCGCCACGGGCTAGACTGTGAGCACTTTGCGTTTATGTTTGCGTTTGTGTTTTCTTTGTGTTAGGGTTGGGGTTGGGTTTGCGTTTGTGGTTGGGTTTGTGTTTGGATTTGGTTTGTTTTCGTTTGCTTTTTTTGTTTGTGTTTGTGTTTTCTTTGTGTCTGTGGTTGGGTTTGTGTTTGCGTTTGTGTTTATAGTTTTGTTTGCGTTTGTGTTATGTTTGCGTTTTTACTTTCTCTTATATACAGAGTATAGAGAAAGTATTGTAATCGTGGAAAAAAAATCGAGATATTTGTAAATCTCGACGTTTTACACCTCCCTGAGTCGGAAAAACAATTTTGCAATCTTGTCCATATGTCTGTGTGTGTGTGTGTGTGTGGGGGGGGGGGGGGTGTATGTGTCTGTGTGTCTGTGTGTCTGTATACACGAGAAAGTAAAAATCTAACAAAAATCAAGCTATTTAACATAATAACAACAAACTCGAAATGCACTGAAAATAAAAGGATAAAAAACGAAATTCTTCGATAAAACATTGCTCGTTGATAAATAACTTGAATACTTGCACTAAAGAGGTCTAGTTTACTATTAGCTGCTAATTAAAAGAAGAAATAGGTATTTGTCTCGGGAATTTGACTCAATGCCATTTGACCTTGAGCCTTTGACCTTGCCGCAGGTGTACACCGCCGAACAAACCAAGAACGTCTGCCGATACACGGCCCGCCCCGCCCGCTGGTTTAAAAGCGAGTACGAGCTCCGAATGGCAACCAAAGTTCAAGGTCAACGGAAGAAGGAAGAGGACGAGAAGAGGGAGGCAGAGGAGAAGGCGAGGCAGGTAACTCTCGTCTGTAGATGGCCGGGCATCAAGGTGGCCGGGCATCAAGGTGGCCGGGCATCAAGGTGGCCGGGCATCAAGGTGGCCGGGCATCAAGGTGGCCGGGCATCAAGGTGGCCGGGCATCAAGGTGGCCGGGCATCAAGGTGGCCGGGCATCAAGGTGGCCGGGCATCAAGGTGGCCGGGCATCAAGGTGGCCGGGCATCAAGGTGACCTGAAATTAAGATGACCTGACATCAAGATGACAGGCATCAACACTTGTTGATTTGATTACTGCTTCTTCAGCTTCTCGAAGCCCCGCCCCCGGACGACCTTGAGGGTCGGCGTGTGCACTCGTGGGTGATGGTCCTGGCAGGTCGGCGCGACATCAGCCAAACGTTTTTTATCGAACCAACAACAGGCGTGGCGCACCCCACGGGATGGGACCAGTACCTGGGCATCGAGAGCCTCTGGAACGAGAAGAATTACTATATCAACATGCAGGAGGAGAAAGAGGTACAACATAGGCACCAACAACATAGGCAACAACAACATAGGCAACAACAACATAGGCACCAACAACATAGGCAACAACAACATAGGCAACAACAACATAGGCAACAACAACATAGGCAACAACAACATAGGCACCAACAACATAGGCACCAACAACATAGGCAACAACAACAACATAGGCAACAACAACATAGGCAACAACAACATAGGCAACAACAACATAGGCAACAACAACATAGGCAACAACAACATAGGCAACAACAACATAGGCAACAACAACATAGGCAACAACAACATAGGCAACAACAACATAGGCAACAACAACATAGGCACCAACAACATAGGCACCAACAACATAGGCAACAACAACATAGGCAACAACAACATAGGCAACAACAACATAGGCAACAACAACATAGGCAACAACAACAACATAGGCAACAACAACATAGGCAACAACAACATAGGCAACAACAACAACATAGGCAACAACAACATAGGCAACAACAACATAGGCAACAACAACATAGGCAACAACAACATAGGCAACAACAACATAGGCAACAACAACATAGGCAACAACAACATAGGCAACAACAACATAGGCAACAACAACATAGGCAACAACAACATAGGCACCAACAACATAGGCACCAACAACATAGGCAACAACAACATAGGCAACAACAACATAGGCAACAACAACATAGGCAACAACAACATAGGCAACAACAACAACATAGGCAACAACAACATAGGCAACAACAACATAGGCAACAACAACAACATAGGCAACAACAACATAGGCAACAACAACATAGGCAACAACAACATAGGCAACAACAACATAGGCAACAACAACAACATAGGCAACAACAACATAGGCAACAACAACATAGGCAACAACAACATAGGCAACAACAACATAGGCAACAACAACAACATAGGCAACAACAACATAGGCACCAACAACATAGGCAACAACAACATAGGCAACAACAACATAGGCAACAACAACATAGGCAACAACAACATAGGCACCAACAACATAGGCAACAACAAAAACATAGGCAACAACAACATAGGAAACAACAACAACATTGGCAACAACAACATAGGCAACAACAACATAGGCAACAACAACATAGGCAACAACAGCATAGGCAACAACAACATAGGCAACAACAACATAGGCAACAACAGCATAGACAACAACAACATAGGCAACAACAACATAGGCAACAACAACAGCATAGGCAACAACAACATAGGCAACAACAACAGCATAGGCAACAACAACATAGGCAACAACAACAGCATAGGCAACAACAACAACATAGGCAACAACAACATAGGCACCAACAACATAGGCAACAACAACAGCATAGGCAACAACAACAACATAGGCAACAACAACAGCATAGGCAACAACAACAACATAGGCAACAACAACATAGGCAACAACAACAACATAGGCAACAACAACATAGGCAACAACAACATAGGCAACAACAACATAGGCAACAACAGCATAGACAACAACAACATAGGCACCAACAACATAGGCAACAACAACAGCATAGGCAACAACAACAACATAGGCAACAACATAGGCAACAACATCATAGGCAACAACAGCATAGGCACCAACAACAACATAGGCAACAACATAGGCAACAACAACATAGGCAACAACAACATAGGCAACAACAACATAGGCAACAACAGCATAGACAACAACAACATAGGCACCAACAACATAGGCAACAACAACATAGGCAACAACAACAGCATAGGCAACAACAACATAGGCAACAACAACATAGGCAACAACAACATAGGCAACAACAGCATAGGCAACAACAGCATAGGCAACAACAACATAGGCAACAACAACATAGGCAACAACAACATAGGCAACAACAACATAGGCAACAACAGCATAGGCAACAACAGCATAGGCAACAACAACATAGGCAACAACAACATAGGCAACAACAACATAGGCAACAACAATATAGGCAACAACAACATAGGCAACAACAGCATAGGCAACAACAACATAGGCAACAACAACAGCATAGGCAACAACAACAAGATAGGCAACAACAACATAGGCAACAACATAGGCAACAACATAATCAACAACAACAGCATAGGCAACAACAACAGCATAGGCAACAACAACAGCATGGGCAACAACAGCATAGGCAACAACAGCATAGGCAACAACATAGGCAACAACAACATAGGCAACAACAGCATAGGCAACAACAACAGCATAGGCAACAACAGCATAGGCAACAACAACATAGGCAACAACAACATAGGCAACAACAGCATAGGCAACAACAACATAGGCAACAACAGCATAGGCAACAACAACAGCATAGGCAACAACAGCATAGGCAACAACAACATAGGCAACAACAACATAGGCAACAACAGCAGCATAGGCAACAACAACATAGGCAACAACAACAAGATAGGCAACAACAACATAGGCAACAACAACATAGGCAGCAACAACATAGGCAACAACAACATAGGCAACAACATAGGCAACAACAACATAGGCAACAACAACATAGGCAACAACATAGGCAACAACAACATAGGCAACAACAACATAGATGAAATTGACCTTGACCACCACAGCTGAACTACGACATTGGCGACAGCCGCCAGTGGGAGTATCTGTTCCCTGGCCAGGACCTCCACATCAAGATCTCGCCGGAGGAACTCAAGGAAAAAAAGACAACTCTTGCTTTAATGGTAGGGACAAGAGTTATTGCCGTTGTGTCTGTGTCGAACAACATCAATGACCTCTCACCTTACAGTTGTGTATGTCTGTAGGGAGACACGTGTGTGACCCCTGACCTTTGTGTTTGTCTGTAGGGAGACACGTGTGTGACCCCTGACCTTTGTGTATGTCTGTAGGGAGACACGTGTGTGACCCCTGACCTTTGTGTATGTCTGTAGGGAGACACGTGTGTGACCCCTGACCTTTGTGTATGTCTGTAGGGAGACACGTGTGTGACCCCTGACCTTTGTGTATGTCTGTAGGGAGACACGTGTGTGACCCCTGACCTTACAGTTGTGTATGTCTGTGTTGAGACACGTGTGTGACCCCTGACCTTACAGTTGTGTATGTCTGTAGGGAGACACGTGTGTGATCCCTGACCTTACAGTTGTTGTCTATGCTGGTGTATAGGGAGACACGTGTGCTGATGAACTTTTTTTTGACGTGCCCATGTCTTGGTGTCTGCCCTTGTACATCTCCAGAGATGGTAAGTCACGTGATGGGGGATGGTTAAGTCAGGTGAAATTAGGCGAAGTTAGTCAGGTGAAGTTAGTCAGGTGAAGTTAGTCAGGTGAAGTTAGTCAGGTGAAGTCAGGTGAAGTTAGACAGGTGAAGTCAGGTGAAGTTAGTCAGGTGAAGTTAGTCAGGTGAAGTTAGTCAGGTGAAATTAGTCAGGTGAAGTTAGTCAGGTGAAGTTAGTCAGGTGAAGTTAGTCAGGTGAAGTTAGTCAGGTGAAGTTAGTCAGGTCAAGTTAGGGTTACTTTAATCAGAATGAATCAATGTGAAGCAAGTTATCTTTCGTGCTTTTATTTTAATGACCTGACCTGATCAACTCTTGTTCATAGATTATGACCGGAAGTACCCAAACGGCAAGCGGAGCAGACGCTACAAGTACTGTCTGGTGGAAGACTTCTGCCGCTATCTGCTGCCAGACGGTCTGGTCAGGAAAATGTACATCTACTCTGATCTGGCACGTGGGTCCCTTGATGTGCTGCCAGGGTGCTGTGTGACGTGTGCTGTGTGACGTTAGCTGTGTGACGTGAGACATGCTGTGTGACGTTATCTAAGTAACGTGTGACGTTAGATGTGTGACGTGAGACATATGCTGTGTGACGTGTACTGTGTGACCTTAGCTGTGTGACGTGTGCTGTGTGACGTGTGCTGTGTGACGTGTGCTGTGTGACGTGCGACGTGTGCTGTGTGACGTGTGCTGTGTGACGTGTGCAGTGTGACGTTAGCTGTGTGACGTGTGTTGTGTGACGTGAGACGTGTGCTGTGTGACGTTAGCTGTGTGACGTTAGCTGTGTGCTGTGTGCTGTGTGACGTTAGTTGTGTGACGTGTGACGTTAGTTGTTTGACGTGTGATGTGTGGTGTGCGTGGCGTGTGGTTTGTATGGTGTATGTGGTGTGTTACGTTTGACTAACACGCCCCACCCGCCCGTCCCCAGACCAGGAGCTGAGGTATACACACTGTTTCTACCAGGACCGGTCGGACCGGCTGGAGAGCCGGTTGACGCACACAGCCACGGGGAAAATTGTGGAAAAGTTTGGCTACGGCAGGGACGACGCCATTCGTGGTGAGGTCAACATTTGTGTGCTGAGGTTTTGGCGTTGTTGTCAACATTGGTTTGCTGAGGTTTTGGCGTTGTTGTCAACATTTGTTTGCTGAGGTTTTGGCGTTGTTGTCAACATTTGTGTGCTGAGGTTTTGGCGTTGTTGTCAACATTGGTTTGCTGAGGTTTTGGCGTTGTTGTCAACATTTGTTTGCTGAGGTTTTGGCGTTGTTGTCAACATTTGTTGGCTGAGGTTTTGGCGTTGTTGTCAACATTTGTGTGCTGAGGTTTTGGCGTTGTTGTCAACATTTGTGTGCTGAGGTTTTGGCGTTGTTGTCAACATTTGTGTGCTGAGGTTTTGGCGTTGTTGTCAACATTTGTGTGCTGAGGTTTTGGCGTTGTTGTCAACATTTGTGTGCTGAGGTTTTGGCGTTGTTGTCAACATTTGTGTGCTGAGGTTTTGGCGTTGTTGTCAACATTTGTTGGCTGAGGTTTTGGCGTTGTTGTCAACATTTGTTTGCTGAGGTTTTGGCGTTGTTGTCAACATTTGTTTGCTGAGGTTTTGGCGTTGTTGTCAACATTTGTGTGCTGAGGTTTTGGCGTTGTTGTCAACATTTGTTGGCTGAGGTTTTGGCGTTGTTGTCAACATTTGTGTGCTGAGGTTTTGGCGTTGTTGTCAACATTTGTGTGCTGAGGTTTTGGCGTTGTTGTCAACATTGGTTTGCTGAGGTTTTGGCGTTGTTGTCAACATTTGTGTGCTGAGGTTTTGGCGTTGTTGTCAACATTTGTGTGCTGAGGTTTTGGCGTTGTTGTCAACATTTGTGTGCTGAGGTTTTGGCGTTGTTGTCAACATTTGTGTGCTGAGGTTTTGGCGTTGTTGTCAACATTTGTGTGCTGAGGTTTTGGCGTTGTTGTCAACATTTGTTTGCTGAGGTTTTGGCGTTGTTGTCAACATTGGTTTGCTGAGGTTTTGGCGTTGTTGTCAACATTTGTTTGCTGAGGTTTTGGCGTTGTTGTCAACATTTGTTTGCTGAGGTTTTGGCGTTGTTGTCAACATTTGTGTGCTGAGGTTTTGGCGTTGTTGTCAACATTTGTTTGCTGAGGTTTTGGCGTTGTTGTCAACATTTGTGTGCTGAGGTTTTGGCGTTGTTGTCAACATTGGTTTGCTGAGGTTTTGGCGTTGTTGTCAACATTTGTTTGCTGAGGTTTTGGCGTTGTTGTCAACATTTGTGTGCTGAGGTTTTGGCGTTGTTGTCAACATTTGTTGGCTGAGGTTTTGGCGTTGTTGTCAACATTTGTTTGCTGAGGTTTTGGCGTTGTTGTCAACATTTGTTTGCTGAGGTTTTGGCGTTGTTGTCAACATTTGTGTGCTGAGGTTTTGGCGTTGTTGTCAACATTTGTTTGCTGAGGTTTTGGCGTTGTTGTCAACATTTGTGTGCTGAGGTTTTGGCGTTGTTGTCAACATTTGTGTGCTGAGGTTTTGGCGTTGTTGTCAACATTGGTTTGCTGAGGTTTTGGCGTTGTTGTCAACATTTGTTTGCTGAGGTTTTGGCGTTGTTGTCAACATTTGTGTGCTGAGGTTTTGGCGTTGTTGTCAACATTGGTTTGCTGAGGTTTTGGCGTTGTTGTCAACATTTGTTTGCTGAGGTTTTGGCGTTGTTGTCAACATTTGTTTGCTGAGGTTTTGGCGTTGTTGTCAACATTTGTTGGCTGACGTTTTGGCGTTGTTGTCAACATTGGTTTGCTGAGGTTTTGGCGTTGTTGTCAACATTTGTTGGCTGAGGTTTTGGCGTTGTTGTCAACATTTGTTTGCTGAGGTTTTGGCGTTGTTGTCAACATTTGTGTGCTGAGGTTTTGGCGTTGTTGTCAACATTTGTTGGCTGACGTTTTGGCGTTGTTGTCAACATTTGTTTGCTGAGGTTTTGGCGTTGTTGTCAACATTTGTTGGCTGAGGTTTTGGCGTTGTTGTCAACATTTGTTTGCTGAGGTTTTGGCGTTGTTGTCAACATTTGTTTGCTGAGGTTTTGGCGTTGTTGTCAACATTTGTTGGCTGAGGTTTTGGCGTTGTTGTCAACATTTGTGTGCTGAGGTTTTGGCGTTGTTGTCAACATTTGTTTGCTGAGGTTTTGGCGTTGTTGTCAACATTTGTTTGCTGAGGTTTTGGCGTTGTTGTCAACATTTGTTTGCTGAGGTTTTGGCGTTGTTGTCAACATTTGTTGGCTGAGGTTTTGGCGTTGTTGTCAACATTTGTTTGCTGAGGTTTTGGCGTTGTTGTCAACATTTGTTTGCTGAGGTTTTGGCGTTGTTGTCAACATTTGTTGGCTGAGGTTTTGGCGTTGTTGTCAACATTTGTGTGCTGAGGTTTTGGCGTTGTTGTCAACATTTGTTTGCTGAGGTTTTGGCGTTGTTGTCAACATTTGTTTGCTGAGGTTTTGGCGTTGTTGTCAACATTTGTTTGCTGAGGTTTTGGCGTTGTTGTCAACATTTGTTTGCTGAGGTTTTGGCGTTGTTGTCAACATTTGTGTGCTGAGGTTTTGGCGTTGTTGTCAACATTTGTTGGCTGAGGTTTTGGCGTTGTTGTCAACATTGGTTTGCTGAGGTTTTGGCGTTGTTGTCAACATTTGTTTGGCTAGGACTACGGGTGAATCTGTGACAAATCTGACCTTTACCTTTGACCTTTGACCCAGAGCACCATTATCTGGCCAGCAGCCCCGGCCCTGAGCGGTACCACGTGCTGACCTTTGAGCCCGGCAAGCGGACGGACGAGGTCTACCGGCGGGAGGAAGACGCCACCACCGTCAAACATTTCTTCAGGAACAGAGCCGACAGGAAAATCTTGAAGGAAACCAAATTCGGGCCGTGTGGCAAAGTTCTGGAAAACCCCAAACTTCTCTTGCCGCATCCCAGACCCATCGAGGTTTGTAATGGTCTGTACCGGCCGTCCAATGGTCTGTACCGGCCGTCCAATGGTCTGTACCGGCCGTCCAATGGTCTGTACCGGCCGTCCAATGGTCTGTACCGGCCGTCCAATGGTCTGTACCGACCGTCTAACGGTCTGTACCGGCCGTCCAATGGTCTGTACCGGCCGTCCAATGGTCTGTACCGGCCGTCCAATGGTATGTACCGACCGTCTAACGGTCTGTACCGGCCGTCCAATGGTCTGTACCGGCCGTCCAATGGTCTGTACCGACCGTCTAATGGTCTGTACCGGCCGTCCAATGGTCTGTACCGGCCGTCCAATGGTCTGTACCGACCGTCTAATGGTCTGTACCGGCCGTCCAATGGTCTGTACCGGCCGTCCAATGGTCTGTACCGACCGTCCAATGGTCTGTACCGGCCGTCTAATGGTCTGTACCGGCCGTCCAATGGTCTGTACCGGCCGTCTAATGGTCTGTACCGGCCGTCTAAAAATCAGCACCCATGCTCTGCAATGTCCTTCTATAACACAGACTATCACTGAAGAATTTGAACGCAACCCGGAAGTTCCGGCCAACGACGACATCGCCAAGGTGACCTTCAACCTGTGCACGGACGAAATCGAGATCCAGTACCACGTGGAGGACGAACGGATCGTGGCCAGCAGCCGACACTTTTCTAAACCCCCGAGTTGGTGGGACGAGACCCAAGTCCTGGCCTGGTCGCCCGACCTGCACTCTTGCTTTGAGGTCTGTCTGTCTGTCTGTCTGTCTGTCTGTCTGTCTGTCTGTCTGTCTGTCTGTCTGTCTGTCTGTCTGTCTGTCTGTCTGTCTGTCTGTCTGTCTGTCTGTCTGTCTGTCTGTCTGTCTGTCTGTCTGTCTGTCTGTCTGTCTGTCTGTCTGTCTGTCTGTCTGTCTGTCTGTCTGTCTGTCTGTCTGTCTGTCTGTCTGTCTGTCTGTCTGTCTGTCTGTCTGTCTGTCTGTCTGTCTGTCTGTCTGTCTGTCTGTCTGTCTGTCTGTCTGTCTGTCTGTCTGTCTGTCTGTCTGTCTGTCTGTCTGTCTGTCTGTCTGTCTGTCTGTCTGTCTGTCTGTCTGTCTGTCTGTCTGTCTGTCTAGGTCTGTCTGTCTGTCTAGCTCTGTCTGTCTGTCTAGGTCTCTCTGTCTGTCTGTCTGTCTAGGTCTGTCTGTCTGTCTGTCTGTCTGTCTGTCTGTCTGTCTGTCTGTCTGTCTGTCTAGCTCTGTCTGTCTGTCTAGGTCTGTCTGTCTGTCTGTCTGTCTGTCTGTCTGTCTGTCTGTCTGTCTGTCTGTCTGTCTGTCTGTCTGTCTGTCTGTCTGTCTGTCTGTCTAGGTCTGTCTGTCTGTGTGTCTGTCTGTCTAGCTCTGTCTGTCTGTCTAGGTCTCTCTGTCTGTCTGTCTGTCTAGGTCTGTCTGTCTGTCTGTCTGTCTGTCTGTCTGTCTGTCTGTCTGTCTAGCTCTGTCTGTCTGTCTAGGTCTCTCTGTCTGTCTGTCTAGGTCTGTCTGTCTGTCTGTCTGTCTGTCTGTCTGTCTGTCTGTCTGTCTAGCTCTGTCTGTCTGTCTAGGTCTCTCTGTCTGTCTGTCTGTCTAGGTCTGTCTGTCTGTCTGTCTGTCTGTCTGTCTGTCTGTCTGTCCGGCTAATGTTAGACCAGCTGTCTGTCTGTCTGTCAGGCTAACGTGCTGGTTGGACCAAAAGGCGAGTTGGAGCTGTACCAGATGTTGATTCACCTCATGAAGATGGAGAGTAAGACAAGGGAGATAACTAGACTCACAGAACGGGAGGTAACTGACAAACTCGACTGACGGTCAAAAGGTAACTGACAAACTCGACTGACGGTCAAAAGGTAACTGACAAACTCTACTGACGGTAAAAGATAACTGACATTGTAAACTCTACTGACGGTAAAAATGTGCACAAATAGTGCACAATTTGCGCACGCAGGAGACTTACAATGAAAATTTCGCTACCTAGAACAATAAACTTTGTTGATAGAATACTGCGTACCGTCCCGCGTCTTTCCGCGGTCTATGAACCAGTGGCGTGCAGGAGGGGGGGGGGGCAGGCCCAGGTCATCCACTTTGGGGGGGGGGGGGGGGGGGGAGGGGAATCCGATGATTGTAGAAAAAAAAAGTCACAGGAAAAAAACACAGGAAAAAACAGAAAAAAGTCACAGGAAAAAAGTCACAAATATATATTTGCATGATATTTGTTAATACTTGATGTATTTTGATTCGAATATAGGTCTAAATTTTGTAATTAAACTAAATTGATTTTGTAATTTAATTTAATTAAAGAAGTATATTCTATTTCTAGATTCTATGTCTACCTAGCTGTGCAATTCACTCTAAATCTAGATCAAATTTTGTTTACAACATGATTAGATTTAGACCTAGATTCTAGATCTAAATATCAAATAAATGTAAGCCCTGCTAGGGGGAGGGGAGATAACAAAAATCTACCCTTCTCGGCTTATCTAACTACTGTCCAGTCAGTGCAATTCCGGCTAAACCCAGACGGGTTAATAAACTTAACCTTAGCCTAAATAAAAAAATAACAATTTATTAAATTCATTAAATTGAACCAATCAAAATTGTAAAAAAAGAATATATGAAAAAACTACATATACAAAACAGAACTTCACAAAACAGACTTTAACGTGACAAAACAATATACACAAAACATTACGTTCGACTATTTGATGGTGCTGCACCGACTTATGATGTCTAGGATGGTCCAGGCCCTGACACACAGAAACCTCCCTTCATCCATTCTCGACATCCAAAAGTCCACACCAAACAAAACACTACGTACAACCAGAGTTTCTTTCAGGCATCTCTTCGGGGGGGGGGGCGAAGCCCCCCCCCCCCCCCCCCCGATATATTTTTACCGCACCCCCGAACGAAATGAAATTTATATAATTTATATAGAAAATATATACTTTTAACAGTGTCCGCCCCCGAAGAAAGTCTACCGCCCCCCCCCCCGAAAATTTCAAGTGCCCCCCCCCCCCCGGAGAAAAAAGTCTGGAAGAAACACTGCGTACAACCACTACGTAGAAAACATTACGTACAAAACAATATATACAAAACAATATATACAAAACACCCAGCCAAGTTGCACAAGCAACCTCACTCCACGCACGCGGTGCGCCCACAGAAAACTGACCCGACCTACATTATCGCCTCAGGTCAAAAGAAACAAATTATCCGAGAGGTCAGTTTTTATACTGACCGCTTCGGGCGGAAGGGGAAACCCCGTAGCCGCTGTCCGGTAGAACATTCACGCACAGATTCGCACACACAAATATAATACAAATAAATAATCCATTCACCCGCTCACATAAATAATCTAATGAAATGTTATTGTTACTTTTGACTTTGATTTATTGCTGAAATTAAATGTTTGTGAAGGCCGACAAGTTGTCTTTTGTTAATTAAAATGGATTTTATCTTTTACTGTCCTTACCAAAAACATTTTCCCATTTTATTTGCCGCTGTTTCAACTACATCGATTCGATAAATATTGGCTAAAAATTTAAGCGTCTACGTTCTTTTGACTGCCGATCTCTATTACCTTGGTTTAATATAACCCTTGGCAGTTGATATAAAAAAATCTCTTTAGATCTGCCGCGTCGAGGATCACACAACCTTTCACAGCATAGATCGCCATTTTGAATGCGGACATGTACACCGCGATGGCGGATGTTAACATAGTAAACTAAGCGTGAGGATATAATAATATCGTTTTCCTTGCATATTAGCTTCATTATCATATATCTGACCTCGACATTTACCAATCTCTAAGCCATATTTCTAGAGTGCTGCTGGCAGTCAAGCTAAATATCTTTGCCTGTTGTGTCCAGTGTTTCTTCCAGACTTTTTTCTCCGGGGGGGCACTTGAAATCCTCGGGGGGGGGGGGGGGCGGTAAACTTTCTTCGGGGGGGGGGGGGCGGACACTGTTAAAAGTATATATTTTCTATATAAATATATAAATTTTATTTCGTTCGGGGGGGCGGTAAAAAATTTTCGGGGGGGGGGGGGGCTTCGCCCCCCCGAAGAGATGCCTGGAAGAAACTCTGGTTGTGTCTTCAGGGATACAAAAATTCAGTTAAACATTCCACAGGTTAAAAGTCACAACGTGAAACATCGACATAGCGCACAAGCAGAGATCGCTGTTCTCTATGACTAGTATCGATATTTTCTCAATATATCGAGTTTTGTTTTTCTTTTACCAAGACGAGGCGCTTTATTCCTACGTATCCGACTACTTCGACGTACGAGAAAAGACTAGCATTTCTAAGGTCCGTAACTAGTACAGGCATAAAAAAAACAACTTCTACAGCCGCTCAACTCTTCCTTGCACACAGCGAGGTGTGACACTAATGTCTTCCTATCGCAGTTCAGGTGGGGGATAGCTCACTCACATCAACCGCGGCCTCAATTGTAACAATCAACAATGGTGAACTTTGACCTTTAGTATTTTCCCAATTTAATTCAACAAAGAATATTTTACCCAACTGTGACTGCAGCCCGGTCCGATAGGGCTATGTAAAACTGGAAACTCTTTTGTAGGGCATGGCATATAGCCGCCCCCCCCCTCTTCCGGCATGTCCCCAAACTGTCTCCCCTACTCAAAATTCCACCCATTATTACATTTATTGAGTCAGTCATTCCTTTCGATTTGTCTGTATGCAGTGTTTTCAAGAGTTTAGCTAAGTCAATTTTTAAAATGCTTTTCTATTTGTATTCTGTTTAATAAAATAATGCATAATGCATGCTGTTGTAATTTATCTTCAATTATACGGCTACCAACACTTTTAACACCGTAATATATATATATATATATATATATATATATATATATATATATATATATATATATATATATATATTTATTTATTTATATATATATATATATAAAGTATGGGGCATCATCTTTCCTTGGGTTGGCCCCGGGCACCAAAATAGCTCTGCACGCCACTGCTCAGAAGACAGGTTGACGCAATATTTTAAGAGGCTTCCGTCAATGATGTACCTATTTTTAGATGTGTTCTAAAACTGAGTTATTTTAATGTAAACAAAGCGGGCGCTACATAGTTGAGGAGGCGCGGGTTATCTACACTACCGCCCAGACGCCCCATTGCGTGCTGCATAAAAGTCACCCTTCGTAATAGTGAGATAGACACCCTTCGGCGACCGCCCATGCGTCAGGGGTGTCGCGGGGCGCTTCCAAGAAACGTCCCGAATTTCGGGTGGGCTTCTAAGACACGTAATAATTTTCTCTCCAGTCGAGGCACATCTTCAAGACACGCCAGAAGGAAGAAGACAAACTGGAGCTGGTCAAGACGTATGTTCAGGCCGACAGAGACGCAGCTCTGCGATCTGTCCGCCTTAAGCTCAAGGTAATTCAGGTGGTTGTCTTCAAGCAGCTGGTGTAAAGGTGTTTAGCTGTTCAGGTGTCTGGTGTCTGGTGTGTAGGTGTGTAGGTGTTAAGGTGTCTGGTGTTCAGCTGTTCAGGTGTCTGGTGTCTGGTGTGTAGGTGTCAGCTGTTCAGGTGTCAGGTGTTAAGGTGTCAGGTGTTAAGGTGTCTGGTGTTAAGGTGTCAGGTGTTAAGGTGTCAGGTGTTAAGGTGTCTGGTGTTAAGGTGTCTGGTGTTAAGGTGTCTGGTGTTAAGGTGTCAGGTGTTAAGGTGTCAGGTGTTAAGGTGTCAGGTGTTAGGGTGTCAGGTGTTAAGGTGTCTGGTGTTAAGGTGTCTGGTGTTAAGGTGTCTGGTGTTAAGGTGTCTGGTGTTAAGGTGTCTGGTGTGTAGGTGTCTGGTGTTCAGGTGTCTGGTGTCTTGTGTGTGGGTGTCTGGTGTCAAGGTGTCTGGTGTTAAGGTGTTCAGGTGTCTGGTGTTAAGGTGTTCAGGTGTCTGGTGTCAAGGTGTCAGGTGTTAAGGTGTCAGGTGTTAAGGTGTCTGGTGTTAAGGTGTTAAGGTGTCAGGTGTTAGGGTGTCAGGTGTTAAGGTGTCAAGGTGTCTGGTGTTAAGGTGTCTGGTGTTAAGGTGTCTGGTGTTGAGTGTTTCTCCTGTCTCAGGCCCAGGCCAAGGCCAACCGTATCCTGGCACGGAGCGACATCCTGCGGGACTACCTGGAGCCGTTCATGCACCGTGTAGGACTGGACGAGATCAGCAACAAGAAGCAAGCCATCAGGATCAAGGACGACTGTCTCAGGGACCTCAAGGAGGCGCTCATTAGCCAGGCCAACATGATCAAAGAACAATTCACCAAGGTAAGCTTCACACTAGTCACGTCAGAAGGTGTGAACATTTGTGACATGATTTGATAAACGTGTAAAAATGTCACAAGATTTGATAAACGTGTGAAAATTGACAAGATTTGATAAACGTGTGAAAAGGTGACAAGATTTGATAAACGTGTGAAAATGAGACAAGATTTGCTAAACGTTTGAAAATGTGACAAGATTTGATAAACGTGTGAAAATGTGACATGATTTGCCAAACGTGTGAAAATGTGACAAGATTTGCTAAACATGTGAAAATGTGACAAGATTTGCCAAACGTGTGATACAGGAGATGAAGATTATTGAGACGACCCAGGTCTGGTATCACGACCATTTCACATCCCTGACACAGTCGGACCTCATGGACTTCCGCGCCTTCCTCACACAACACCTCTTTACTGCCCACATCCTAGAGCAGCGCCTCATCAGGTCAGTGGACAGTCGGTTCTGGTTGGGTGACTTAGGTCAGTGGACGGTCAGTTCTGGTTGGGTGAACTAGGTCAGTTCTGGTTGGGTGACCTAGGTCAGTTCTGGTTGGGTGACTTAGGTCAGTGGACGGTCAGTTCTGGTTGGGTGACTTAGATCAGTTCTGGTTGGGTGACTTAGGTCAGTGGACGGTCAGTTCTGGTTGGGTGACTTAGGTCGGTTCTGGTTGGGTGAATTAGGTCAGTGGACGGTCAGTTCTGGTTGGGTGACTTAGGTCGGTTCTGGTTGGGTGACTTAGGTCAGTGGACAGTCGGTTCTGGTTGGGTAACTTAGGTCAGTTCTGGTTGGGTGACTTAGGTCAGTGGACGGTCAGTTCTGGTTGGGTGACTTAAGTCAGTTCTGGTTGGGTGACTTAGGTCGGTTCTGGTTGGGTGACTTAGGTCAGTGGACGGTCAGTTCTGGTTGGGTGACTTAGGTCAGTTCTGGTTGGGTGACTTAGGTCAGTGGACGGTCAGTTCTGGTTCGGTGACGTAGGTCAGTGGACGGTCAGTTCTGGTTGGGTGACTTAGGTCAGTTCTGGTTGGGTGACTTCGGTCAGTGGACGGTCAGTTCTGGTTGGGTGACTTAGGTCAGTGGACGGTCAGATCTGGTTGGGTGACTTAAGTCAGTGGACGGTCAGTTCTGGTTGGGTGACTTAGGTCAGTGGACGGTCAGTTCTGGTTGGGTGACTTAGGTCAGTTCTGGTAGGGTGACCTTGGTCAGTTCTGGTTGGGTAACCTAGGTCAGTGTACGGTCAGTTCTGGTTGGGTGACTTCGGTCAGTTCTGGTTGGGTGACTTAGGTCAGTGGACGGTCAGTTCTGGTTGGGTGACTTAGGTCACTTCTAGTTGGGTGACTTAGGTCACTTCTAGTTGGGTGACTTAGGTCAGTGTACGGTCAGTTCTGGTTGGGTGACTTAGGTGAGTTCTGGTTGGGTGACCTAGGTAAGTGGACGGTCAGTTCTTGTTGGGTGACTTAGGTCAGTGGACGGTCAGATCTGGTTGGGTGACTTAAGTCAGTGGACGGTCAGTTCTGGTTGGGTGACTTAGGTCAGTTCTGGTTGGGTGACTTAGGTCAGTGGACGGTCAGTTCTGGTTGGGTGACCTAGGTCAGTTCTGGTTGGGTGACTTAGGTCGGTTCTGGTTGGGTGACTTAGGTCAGTGGACAGTCAGATCTGGTTAGGTGACTTAGGTCAGTTCTGGTTGGGTGACTTAGGTCAGTGGACGGTCAGTTCTGGTTGGGTGACCTAGGTCAGTTCTGGTTGGGTGACTTAGGTCAGTGGACGGTCAGTTCTGGTTGGGTAACTTAGGTCAGTGGACGGTCAGTTCTGGTTGGGTGACTGAAGTCAGTTCTGGTTGGGTGACTTAGGTCGGTTCTGGTTGGGTGACTTAGGTCAGTGGACGGTCAGTTCTGGTTGGGTGACTTAGGTCAGTGGACGGTCAGTTCTGGTTGGGTGACTTAGGTCGGTTCTGGTTGGGTGACTTAGGTCAGTGGACAGTCGGTTCTGGTTGGGTGACTTAGGTCAGTTCTGGTTGGGTGACTTCGGTCAGTGGACGGTCAGTTCTGGTTGGGTGACTTAGGTCAGTGTACGGTCAGATCTGGTTGGGTGACTTAGGTCAGTGGACGGTCAGTTCTGGTTGGGTGACTTAGGTCAGTGGACGGTCAGTTCTGGTTGGGTGACCTAGGTCAGTTCTGGTTGGGTGACTTAGGTCAGTGGACGGTCAGTTCTGGTTCGGTGACGTAGGTCAGTGGACGGTCAGTTCTGGTTGGGTGACTTCGGTCAGTGGACGGTCAGTTCTGGTTGGGTGACTTAGGTCAGTTCTGGTTGGGTGACTTAGGTCAGTGGACGGTCAGTTCTGGTTGGGTGACTTAGGTCAGTTCTGGTTGGGTGACTTAGGTCAGTTCTGGTTGGGTGACTTCGGTCAGTGGACGGTCAGTTCTGGTTGGGTGACTTAGGTCAGTGTACGGTCAGATCTGGTTGGGTGACTTAAGTCAGTGGACGGTCAGTTCTGGTTGGGTGACTTAGGTCAGTGGACGGTCAGTTCTGGTTGGGTGACTTAGGTCAGTTCTGGTTGGGTGACCTTGGTCAGTTCTGGTTGGGTAACCTAGGTTAGTGTACGGTCAGTTCTGGTTGGGTGACTTCGGTCAGTTCTGGTTGGGTGACTTAGGTCACTTCTAGTTGGGTGACTAAGGTCACTTCTAGTTGGGTGACTTAGGTCAGTGTACGGTCAGTTCTGGTTGGGTGACTTAGGTGAGTTCTGGTTGGGTGACCTAGGTAAGTGGACGGTCAGTTCTTGTTGGGTGACTTAGGTCAGTGGACGGTCAGATCTGGTTGGGTGACTGAAGTCAGTTCTGGTTGGGTGACCTAGGTCAGTGGACGGTCAGTTCTGGTTGGGTAACTTAGGTCAGTGGACGGTCAGATCTGGTTGGGTGACTTAAGTCAGTGGACGGTCAGTTCTGGTTGGGTGACTTAGGTCAGTTCTGGTTGGGTGACTTAGGTCAGTGGACGGTCAGTTCTGGTTGGGTGACTTAGGTCAGTGTACGGTCAGATCTGGTTGGGTGACTTAAGTCAGTGGACGGTCAGTTCTGGTTGGGTGACTTAGGTCAGTGGACGGTCAGTTCTGGTTGGGTGACCTAGGTCAGTTCTGGTTGGGTGACTTAGGTCAGTGGACGGTCAGTTCTGGTTGGGTAACTTAGGTCAGTGGACGGTCAGTTCTGGTTGGGTGACTGAAGTCAGTTCTGGTTGGGTGACTTAGGTCGGTTCTGGTTGGGTGACTTAGGTCAGTGGACGGTCAGTTCTGGTTGGGTGACTTAGGTCGGTTCTGGTTGGGTGACTTAGGTCAGTGGACAGTCGGTTCTGGTTGGGTGACTTAGGTCAGTTCTGGTTGGGTGACTTCGGTCAGTGGACGGTCAGTTCTGGTTGGGTGACTTAGGTCAGTGTACGGTCAGATCTGGTTGGGTGACTTAAGTCAGTGGACGGTCAGTTCTGGTTGGGTGACTTAGGTCAGTGGACGGTCAGTTCTGGTTGGGTGACTTAGGTCAGTTCTGGTAGGGTGACCTTGGTCAGTTCTGGTTGGGTAACCTAGGTCAGTGTACGGTCAGTTCTGGTTGGGTGACTTCGGTCAGTTCTGGTTGGGTGACTTAGGTCAGTGGACGGTCAGTTCTGGTTGGGTGACTTAGGTCACTTCTAGTTGGGTGACTTAGGTCACTTCTAGTTGGGTGACTTAGGTCAGTGTACGGTCAGTTCTGGTTGGGTGACTTAGGTGAGTTCTGGTTGGGTGACCTAGGTAAGTGGACGGTCAGTTCTTGTTGGGTGACTTAGGTCAGTGGACGGTCAGATCTGGTTGGGTGACTTAAGTCAGTGGACGGTCAGTTCTGGTTGGGTGACTTAGGTCAGTTCTGGTTGGGTGACTTAGGTCAGTGGACGGTCAGTTCTGGTTGGGTGACCTAGGTCAGTTCTGGTTGGGTGACTTAGGTCGGTTCTGGTTGGGTGACTTAGGTCAGTGGACAGTCAGATCTGGTTAGGTGACTTAGGTCAGTTCTGGTTGGGTGACTTAGGTCAGTGGACGGTCAGTTCTGGTTGGGTGACCTAGGTCAGTTCTGGTTGGGTGACTTAGGTCAGTGGACGGTCAGTTCTGGTTGGGTAACTTAGGTCAGTGGACGGTCAGTTCTGGTTGGGTGACTGAAGTCAGTTCTGGTTGGGTGACTTAGGTCGGTTCTGGTTGGGTGACTTAGGTCAGTGGACGGTCAGTTCTGGTTGGGTGACTTAGGTCAGTGGACGGTCAGTTCTGGTTGGGTGACTTAGGTCGGTTCTGGTTGGGTGACTTAGGTCAGTGGACAGTCGGTTCTGGTTGGGTGACTTAGGTCAGTTCTGGTTGGGTGACTTCGGTCAGTGGACGGTCAGTTCTGGTTGGGTGACTTAGGTCAGTGTACGGTCAGATCTGGTTGGGTGACTTAGGTCAGTGGACGGTCAGTTCTGGTTGGGTGACTTAGGTCAGTGGACGGTCAGTTCTGGTTGGGTGACCTAGGTCAGTTCTGGTTGGGTGACTTAGGTCAGTGGACGGTCAGTTCTGGTTCGGTGACGTAGGTCAGTGGACGGTCAGTTCTGGTTGGGTGACTTCGGTCAGTGGACGGTCAGTTCTGGTTGGGTGACTTAGGTCAGTTCTGGTTGGGTGACTTAGGTCAGTGGACGGTCAGTTCTGGTTGGGTGACTTAGGTCAGTTCTGGTTGGGTGACTTAGGTCAGTTCTGGTTTGGTGACTTCGGTCAGTGGACGGTCAGTTCTGGTTGGGTGACTTAGGTCAGTGTACGGTCAGATCTGGTTGGGTGACTTAAGTCAGTGGACGGTCAGTTCTGGTTGGGTGACCTTGGTCAGTTCTGGTTGGGTAACCTAGGTCAGTGTACGGTCAGTTCTGGTTGGGTGACTTCGGTCAGTTCTGGTTGGGTGACTTAGGTCAGTGGACGGTCAGTTCTGGTTGGGTGACTTAGGTCACTTCTAGTTGGGTGACTAAGGTCACTTCAAGTTGGGTGACTTAGGTCAGTGTACGGTCAGTTCTGGTTGGGTGACTTAGGTGAGTTCTGGTTGGGTGACCTAGGTAAGTGGACGGTCAGTTCTTGTTGGGTGACTTAGGTCAGTGGACGGTCAGATCTGGTTGGGTGACTTAAGTCAGTGGACGGTCAGTTCTTGTTGGGTGACTTAGGTCAGTGGACGGTCAGATCTGGTTGGGTGACTTAAGTCAGTGGACGGTCAGTTCTGGTTGGGTGACTTAGGTCAGTTCTGGTTGGGTGACTTAGGTCAGTGGACGGTCAGTTCTGGTTGGGTGACTTAGGTCAGTGTACGGTCAGATCTGGTTGGGTGACTTAAGTCAGTGGACGGTCAGTTCTGGTTGGGTGACTTAGGTCAGTGGACGGTCAGTTCTGGTTGGGTGACCTAGGTCAGTTCTGGTTGGGTGACTTAGGTCAGTGG